ATTTCCATGTTGTAAAACGTAAATGAGATAATGTGTCTATTGCAAACTCTTCCATGCTGCAGTTATTGTTGTTTTTGTCGTATTCCTACTAACGCAAAGCCATTGCCGTAGAAACCAATGCAGATATTCCGGAAACCGAAAGAGTGTCATGAACACACACATCGGATCTGAACAATTGCGATACACAATGTGGACATCAATCATTTTATACTGGTTAAACACAACTCGTTCAAGTAGTAATGAATATTGATTATATTAATGAATTAATGAACATGGTTTTGTCAATTAATTGTGAAATTGCAATTCAGTATTAATGAATAGTTAACTGATATTACTGTGATTAGCAATTTGCCATGTAAAAACAAAATTAACCTGCAATACAAACTCAAAGTATAGATCTTAGCATGTTCAGCCGATATGCAGTAACCAAGCAACACAAAACTGTGGCAAAAATGAATTAAAAAACAGGTTTGACATGGTTGCTGAGGGCAACCGAACATGTTTAGCCTTGACTCCGCGAGTCTGAGAAGATAAAGAGTCTGAGGAAAGGTTAAATGGGTATTTGTAGACAGGTGTGGAAGCATTAAATCACTGTCCTGAACTGTAGCTCCGGTTCTGAAGGGTCAAAGCAGAGTTATAGCGAACAGAAAACCTCTCAGGAGGACGTTTTTATCTGTCTTTTTCTTTTTATATCAATGACATTGTAGAACATGTTCAGTACAGATTCAATCAACAGCATAAATGTGGATGATCACGTAAATATGAGATCCAAAGCTCTTTAAAACATCGTTTTCACAGGTCCATTGTTTTGGCATTAAATTGTCAAAAAGTTGTAAAATTAGGAATAACTTTACCTTTTTTATATTTGAATCATGTTATATATTGTTGACTTGTGGATGAACTGTTGGATCAGTGAATCATTGATGGGTTTAGTTTTAATTCATTGATTCAATTTGTTTCAATTCATTTATATTTTTAAATAAATGTTATGAATGAAGCGGCTCATAAACATCCTATAAGTAAGTTAACGTGGATCTACACAAGGACATGATGGGTGAATTATAGATGTAGCTTCATCAAGCTTCTTTAACATCGATGTTCAGTGAATAATCTGTAGCATCTATAGAACTGAAGGATCTTTACAGTGGGAACGCTTCTTTACATTATTAAAATGTTCTTCACATCAAGACAAATGGAAAGATCTGAAAGATCTAATCATTCTAGATAGATAGACGGATAGACTGACTGTAACACACCGGAGAAAAGAGAGACTCGCGCCATCTAGTGGCCGCTGAAGACACTGCAGTTTAACTCCACAGATGAATATAGATATGCTTTAACTTGCATGTAATTGCAGGATAATAATATGAAGGGAGTGGGAAAATTCACTGTGTGTCTGAGTTACAGCCTGGAGAGGACATTTGCTTTAAATTACCCTAAATGTTTGATAATGAAAATATCTGATGTTTTTTTTTAAACGTTTTAAATATGAGGGAAGAATTAAACACTAAACTTGATTAACTGACAAAATTATTTCTTGTCAATAAAGTCAAACAACGGATTTTACTATGCAAAAACAAAAGGCTGAAAGGAAAAGCAAACATTGCATACAACATTAATATTTTTTTGGATCTATCTTGTTTTTTTCATGTTTAATTGCGTTAATATCACAAATAAAACTAGCGCCTCTAAGCACAACTACACAATATTGTTATTTAATCTTTAATACTATTTGAATGAAGGGTGAGAATTCCAGAATTCCAATTCATGACTTTTGCTCCTGCTGTGTGTGTGTGTGTGTGTGTGTGTGTGTGTGTGTGTGTGTGTGTGTGTGTGTGTGTGTGTGTGTGTGTGTGTGTGTGTGTGTGTGTGTGTGTGTGTGTGTGGAGTGTGTGTGTGGAGTGTGTGTGTGGAGTGTGTCTCCACTTTATTATTGAAACTCACCCTGGTCAAACACACACTGATGGAAGTGACAAACGGTCACTGGCTCTGGTTTCCTCTCATCACAGAAGGAGCCGATGGAGAGCGGCTGACACACACCTGATGATGACACACACCTGATGACACACATCTGTCCCCATCTGGAGCAGTGAGCGTGAAGGTCAGGAGGTCAGAAGCTCCTGTGCAGGAATCAATACATGATTAGAGCCTCAATCCCGAGCCACTGGACGGCCAGCAATGCTTCATGAAGATAAAGAAGCTTCTCCATCGCCTTATGGTTATAAATGTTCCTAGATAGTACAAACCAACCAGCCATTCTTCATCGTTTTATTCCCATCCGACAGGACATCATTTCAGAGTCATAAAGAATACACTGTATTCATGTAAAAATGGCAGATTTGAGGATGTTGTGATGAAGCAAAGCCTCATCCTCAGAGGGTTATGATCATGATGATGATGATGATGATGATGGCAATGACTCCGTTCTGATCAAACACAGACAACATATTACATACATTTCAGCATATATTTACAGTCTTTATAGGATGTATGTACATAACATATACAATAGTGTTCAGAAGTGGCGCCCAGCCTGGGGAACGGACATCGTCACCCTTTATTCAAATATTTTTTATAAATGTGTTAAAGATTTTGAAGTCATATTGTATTTATATTTTTTCACATAGTTGTGCTTGGAGTTGATTGCTTAATTTGTCAAAAAAAAAAAAAAAATGCAATAAAACATTTTGTGCAACATCATGTTCTCTGTATAACAGGCCAGGCTGTCATATAAAGAGACTATGAAGACATGCAAAAACAAGAGAGAACCAGCAAAACATTAATGCTTTTAATATTAATGGTCAATGCTTTTTCCTCTCAGCTTTTTGTTTTTCTATGCATTTTTTTTTATTTTTTATACAGTAAAATAAAACTGTAGTTTGTGTTTCTTGGCAAGTAATTTTGTCAGATAAATACCTTCACCAAATTTAGTATTTAATTCTTCCCTCATATTTAAAATATTTTTAAAAATGTATTTTCCTCATATTTAGAGCTAATTTAACTTGTAGGGTTGTATAAATTGATTGTATCAATTCCCCCCACGTACAACGAGGTGAGTTGAAACTCATTATAATATGCAAAACTGTTATCCACTCACAGCAGTGGGCGTTTACATCCAAGTCTTCAGTGCAAGACGCACATAAAAACCAAGCGTTTTTCAGCTAGGCTCAAAACTAGGGTACAAAATAGACTATTACTTATCATTTTGATGTTTTTGAATGCAAAAACCAAGCAAACATCATAAGCTGACCACAGACAACAATATAATAAAATTTAAAAAGCCAGTTCATGACCCCTTTAAGGTGTTATAGGCCTAAACAGGAAGGGCAGTCATGCGTCTGGAGATTGAGAATGGCCATGCACTATGTACTTCTGTGCCGTTTGTTCACCGTTATGATGATGTTCTGATGATGCGATGTGTAACGGTGGAGGTTTCAGGCTAATGAAGATGCTAGCAGGAGATTAACATTACAGAAACTTTTTAAATATATATATATAGGCCTATATATATATATTTAATATAAAAATGTTCATGTATAGAGACAGCAGAGTGGGCATGTTCTCTTTCACACTATTAAGACTTCTAAAAACGAGGAAAAGAGGAAAGAAAAGTATATGACTGATTCTTACTTTGCTCTGAGTTGCTTTCCCTCCAAGGAAATGATGTCACTTCTAGCACGTCATGTGATGCAAGTCATTAGGCTTGTTTGAGATGCGCCTATAGCCTCGCCTGTAGTCGAGAGTAGCGGCTGCAGTGAGAGGAGGAGTGAAAAAAGCGCAGTCAGGCCGGACAGATCTCGGTGGATCAGACACCTGTGGCTGTGAGATCAAAGACTGATCTCGCGGGATTCACGGGATTCACGCTCGTGCACGTGTTGCTAATAAACTGGATGTGATTTAAGTTCTGTTGCTTTTATATTAAAATAAATATAATGAACAAGACACCCAAAGTAGGCTACTTGTTATTTAATTCCATTCCAAATATGTGTTTATCAATCATTTTTTATTTAATACAGAATTATTTTTACAGGATATTGTTTTAATAAAAATGACATCACATAATTACCGATATGGCACTGTCAGAGAGTTTATTCACCCATACACATAAAACATGATATCAGTTTTTAAAGCAAAAATTTTAAAAGATAGAAAGCTTTTCAATCAGCGCGCAGTCGGTGGAGAGCAGGGCCAGGCGGACCGTTTCTAAGCGGCGTGCATCTCGCGCTGATCACCGTGATCGGTTCTGCGCAGATTTTGCTCATCTCCAATAAGCCTATTGTAAAGGCACCAATGTAAAAGGGTGGAGTTTAAGACGAACTCATTACACACTTATTTTTTTTTTAAAGCATACAAATAATAAAACAATTTGTCAAAGAGAAAATAAGTCAAATTATTCACTATACTCAAAATTGCTAGTAAAGAAATATCATTTGAAAGTGAAGTTGAGAAAACGTGATTGGGAACATGAGAAATTTCCTTGGGTATCAATCATTATGAATTTAGGGAATATTTTTTCAATAATCCACTTCAGCCACTCGACTGACTGAGCAAGTCTGCAACTGCGTGTCATCATCAGCTCTCATCAGAGTACCAGTGGACCGTCCGGCTCCGGTTAGTGGAGATGGAGTAAATTGGCCTGTAGTTGTAAAGTTTATTACAGTCAGAAGAATATCTGTCGAGGAGCTTCAGAATAAAAAGTTATCAGAGATTAACATCAGTCTACTAATACTCTAATCCCTGATAGATGACGGAGTTGCAGTCACTCAGAGTTAGAGGATCTGACCTGTTGAAAAAGTGATAACCTACTGAATTGGTTTTGAACACCTGACGAAAACCGTAGCATGAAACTTGATTAATATTTTATGTATAGTTTCACAAGGACAAACCGAGCAAACTCTAGAAATAAGCCTCGTTTGCGTCCAGAGACTGAGGAGAGAGCATGAGAAGATCATGCACTTCTGAGAGACTCACTGAAACACACACGGTTGACAGAGTTTAAGATCAACACTAATTTAATGAAGCTCATAAAACAAAAAGTAAACATTTAAAATAATTTTACACAGCTTTTAAAGTCTCATTAGCAGATGAGTGCCGTGTTTCGTCCATGTTTCTTAAGGTCATCATCATCATCTTCATGCCCATCCCGCACACACACTCACAGCAATAGCAGTCACTGCGAGCAGAGCCGGATCGCGCGCAATGCGCGGGCCCGAGTTACAGTAGCGTGAACCACAGCAGGAGTACGCGAGGGTGACGTTGTTCCCGCGGAACTTAGATGTTTTCGGTCGCGCGCAGTCGCTCGGGCTCGCGCAGCCCTTGGAGAAGAGCAGGGTCGCGCCCCCGAAGCGGCCACGCGCAGTGAAGCACAGCTCCCGCGGCCCACACTCGGACAGCACGTGCTTACAGGTTCTGTTGTGTGACGTCAGAGGACAGAAGTAACAGACGAGGTTTCCACAGAGGACTCCAGGCTGGAGACACACGACCAGGAACACCAGGCATGAGATGCACTGAAGACCAGCTTTAGATGACATTCTGTCCCAGAGAGACCACACGCGTGCACCGCAGAAAACAGCTTTCGAACCAGAGCTCGTGCATGTGTGTTAAATACTAAACACACCTCCATGAACAGGTGTGAGCTGTTGCCTTCATTATCTCAATTAGACAACGTCACCTGACCTTGTGGAGGCTCTCATCTCCAGAACGTCCCAGTTCATCTCCAGAACATCTCATTTCATCTCCAGAACTTGATCTTGATCCACTTCATCTTGAAGTGCAAGAAGATGCACTCGCATCGCTAGCGTCTTTTTTCTAAACATTTTGCAGCTGAATAGCCTACATAAATCAATCCACATCCAAATTAACTCTGGCTACACGAGGAACTTGCTCATGGGCTAAACAAAGATATAAGCAAAAACAAATAGACTTACTAATATATATTTCAAACATTATTTTTTACCTCATTGGAATCAAAACTGGGAATAGATAAGACAGTGAATTGCTGAAAACAGATTATATATATATATACACATACGGCAGTGATTTAGTGATTCTAAAGCTCTTAGGAGCATGTTTTCTCTTGTGGATCCAGTCACTTAAAGAAGAAGCAAAGTGCAAATATGTGCAAACCCACGTGAACTAAAAGAGTTTTGCTCAAGCTGACCATAGCATTTATTGATCATAAAACTATCGGTTCTAATTTTGAAAATGGAAGACAATGGACAAAATCAAGACTTCTGATAAAGGTTTATATCTTAAAGCTGAAAGGAGCAAAGCCAAATTGCAGTTCAAAGTGAAATAAATCTTTAAAATGTCTCACTTAACTATTTTTGTTCAACTCAAAGTAAAATGCTGGAATCAGCAGAACCTCCTGCAAGATATTAGATCAATTTACCCAGAACTTCCGAACAGATATCATGTGGGAGACCGCGGGATCAGATCCGTTTTACATTTACTTTACCAGACCTGCGAAGATGAACCCACTGTTGTGGCAATTATAATAATATTTATATTAAATGCTTAAAAGAAGATGGAGGCTTGTGTAGAAATTAGTCAATGTGTTTAACAAAGCAAATTAAAGGATAATTAAACTGATGTCCGTGTTTAGTGTCCCACTCTTTCTGATTACACAAAGATTTAGTTTACATTAATCCAATGTATCATATAGACACGCCTGCTGCGATAGATGCAGTGCTGGATCGGGTTAATGTATTACATAGTTTACATGACATATCAGGCCTACTTATAGCTTACATACAGGTGTTTTGGGATTTGAGGGAAAACTGTCAAAACTTGAATATAAATAGTGCAAAGACAGGCTGCGGTAGTTAAACAGAAGGAACAACTAATATATTACAAAATAATCTTTATTCCAAAATAATCTCCCACATAACGGTGTAGTTTCAGCATCTCCCTGAACCACAGTAACACGAGGACTCAAACATGCTTTACCCGTCGCAGGTTCATCAGTTCTCTGACCGTAAACCCGCTGGTAATAGCAGTCCGTTCAGCTTTACTAATCAAATCATAAAAGTATTAATACAAGCCATCATGTGCGCGCGACATTGGCTCGTGTCACCCGCTCCAATGCGGTATGACGGTAACTTCCGGTAACCGCGATCCGCTCCCGGAGACGGTTCCCCTGTTCACGATCTTCATTGCACAGGTCGCGAGCGCAGCACGTGTAGCTGATCTGATACTCGACACCCATGAGTGTGTGTGTGTGGTTGGACCCGCACAGCTCCGGGGACGCGCAGCCCTGGCCGGCGAGCACGAGCACCGGACCGTAGTGACGCCAGCCGGTGAAGCAGTGCTCGCGCGGCACGCACTCGGTGATGATGTTCCTGCAGCGGCCTCTGGCCTGTAGGGGGCAGTAATGACACACCAGGACCCCACCGCAGCAAACACACACGCACACACACACCACACACAGGAGAGTCTGGAAGAATCCGGGCCTGGACGGGACACACACAAAACATGTTTAATCGATGGTTTCTTTTAGTGCATTACAATAAAGAACAAGGACACGATGATGGATGTGCAGCACTGACAGAGGTGGACGAAGGACATTTACTTGAGTACTGTAGCCTAAGTACACTCTGAGTATCTGTAGGCCTACTTTACTTGAGTATTCATTTTGCTGGAATCTTTAACTCCACTATATTTCTGTCAAAGTCTTGGAGTAGAAAGTAGTAACGTCAGTCAAGGGATAATTTTGGTTGGAGAATAAAGTCGGGCTGAAGCCGTCAGATTGATGTCTGGAGTCGGTTTGAACAGACGTTGGATTTTAGTTGGAAATGAAAGTCTGGTTGACCTCATAACTCCACTGGTGTTGGACACTGACTGGTGCTGGATTCTGATGTCAACCCGATTTTCATTTTCAACTAGTCTGTCCAACGTTGGAGATCAATGTCAATCTGGCGTTGAATTCTGACATATTCATTTTCAACGTTGGGTTTGCTCTTCTAAATGCAAATTTTGCCATTGTTTTGGAGCACACTAGCTTGATAACAGTAAGGCTATAATAAAAGCCAAAAACTTTAAATGGGGCACTATATTTGAGGGATCAGCCCATTGTGGACGTTATTGAGTGCACTCGATCCCACTACTGGAGCTGTGCTGGGATAGATCAGAGGCATACGGTATAATGATTACACACAACAATAATAATAATAAAACATTGCATTGACATTTACTTTTATTACTTTTGATACTGAAGCACTTTAAAAAAATCCTTCTGTATTTTTCCTTCAGTAAAGATCGGTCTTTGCAACGGTTACTTGTAACGGAGTTATCTGACCAGTACACCAGTTCACTCAAGTGAGGAAGTTGCACTCCTATAATGAATAAATCTCTCCTATAATGACGTCTATAAAAAGTAAAACGGCTTTTCGAACAACAAATGTGGGCGGGGCTTGATTGTGTCTGTGGGGAGTTGATTGGATGGTTGGATTGCTATTGGCCCTCATCATAAGAGATGTTGCTGTTATTCTGATTCAAGATTATTAACACAATAAATATGAGGTCACATGGGCATCACAAGACTCTGAGGACAAACACGACATGGAATAAAAGCACAAAAGAGTTTTACAGTTACGGCATCCTCATTTCTACAGCAAGAGGTGAATGTAAACACAGAATGAAGATGAGATTAAGCATAACTCTACTAAACTCGGAGAGTCTGAGAGTGATTTACCCGTGTGTCTCCATCGCTGCTGTGGATCTGATCATCAGCATCTCGAGCTTCTCGGAGTCTTTAACGAGTTTAATTAATCATCCGGAAAACAGGTGAGGCGAATTCGCCAGACAGCGGAACTTTTCTTCATTTTATAATGGCTTGTTAATTTGCGTTCACGCTCATGTTCATGTTTTTCACCATAGACATATACACTAGACTTCACCTGGGGGTTCTAAGCATGCGTCAAAACCGCCGCCATCTTGGAACAGGGGACTTGTCATAGGAAGTAGCTAGGTAACGCTGCTATCTCTGCCTTTACTTCGAATTCATTGATGGTGGCGGACTTTTGCAGTGGCACCTCAATGCAGAACATGAGATCCACGGGGAGGAGTCGGATCACGATCCAAGGGGTGGAGATGGGTAAGATTAGGGTTGGGTTTAGGGATTAGGGGTGGGTTTAGGGATCAGGGGGCGGAGTTGGTTAGGTTTAGGTGTATGGAAGGTGGGAGGAGTTGGATCTGGATCCGACTCCTCCCCATGGATTTCATGTTCCGCAGTGCGACTTTTGTGCAGCGTATGATGTTCACGGATGAAATCTGAACTAGGAAGAATGTTTAAAAAAAAAAAAATCTTTCTGGAATCAATGATAAATACGTCTGACCGTTGGAACAAACCAAAAAAACAAGAAAAATCGCATTCATGATGATTTATGGTGATTTTATTTGCGTTAGACCTGTGTCTACTACATTGACGCTGATGCATTAAAGTGGAGGGGCTCCCCTGGTGAGGTCTAGTGTATATGTCTATGGTTTTTCACAAGATTATCATAATGTGTTAGTTTTAACGTAAAGTGTATGTGGTGCATAGCCTAATTAAGAGGAATAATATGAAGCGGTTCTGGGTTACATTCAAACAGTTTATAATGGGATAGCCCTCAGCCTCTGGACACATACTTCTGTAAACTAGTGCATTAGATGAAGCCCTGGGCAGAAATGGATACCAGGTATTTGGACAGCAAATAAGAAAAGATTCAGGAAAAATCATCTGTTCATAAAGACTTATTTTTATTGGCAGTGGAAAATAAGTTTCAGTATTTTATTGAAATGAAAGAAATAAATAATACTGTGATAAAAATAGTTCATAAGTACTTAGACTGTACATTATTTCTATTACAGGACCAGAAGATTTATTTAAATAAAGGACAATAAAAAGATAGTAACATGACTTTAATTGTACACAAGTGACTAAGAACGTAAAATTACAAAATCAAGAAGACTGGGATATGACTCCAGCCTGGGCTTTTGATATCATCCAAAAATGACGATTCCTACATAAAGGCTGATGCACACGATATCAAAAAGGGTAGTTGAAAACAGGAGGAGGGGCTACAAATGTAAGGCTTGATTACAGTGGTGAGAATCACAGGGTTAGAGAGAGAGAGAGAGAGAGAGAGAGAGAGAGAGGCCACTGGAGGATTGGTCCGTCTAAGAAACACACACACTCTTACATAGACTCAATCGCACAGACACACTCACTTTCATTGACTCTTTCACTCACTCACTCAAATGCACACATACACACCTTACACTCTTGTAATGCAGCACAAAGGGAATGGATAAACAGTGACTTTCAGCCAAAAAGATGCTAGAGAAGCCCAGCATCAATATCTCATCTGTAGAAAGATGTTTTCAAAATAGCCCTCATAATTATTACAAAGTATGGCTTATCCACGGGTCTGATTTTGGTATCACAGGATATAAAACACGAACCGACCCCGATATTCACACAATGCCATTGACGTGGGTCACTTTCTCAGAATCAACAGGGAGACCAAAAGAAAATTAAGAGTTTAGATCAAACACACAAAGTACTTTTAGCTGGAAGATTAAAAACAAAATCAATGAGTAGCCGATACGATAAAAATACTCATATAATGATAAAAAAGAGATTATGCCTACAAACATAAATGTACATACTCCTGTCTCGTGATATATAAATTACATCTAGAGGAGTTGAACTGGATTAGGACGCGTGAATTAAAAGGTGACGAGATAAAATCAAGCAGAAGTTGATATGAAACACTGAGTTAGAGAGACTGGAGGAATAAATAGAAGTATAAACTCTGGGATTATGGGTCTGGAACCGGGAAAAACCCAAAGGAATGATGTGGAACTCCAGCCTGACGGGGATCGTGCTCTTCAGCTGCGTCACCTGCGGGAGCAACGACATCATCATCATCATCATCAACATCGTCAAAGCTGTGATTAAAAAAAAAATATTGTGTCTTATCCTAGTAAACGTAACTCATATTTAGATATTTCTCATAAAAAAGATTATTAGCCATTTGTTATTTGAGCTAAACTCAAGCTATTAACTTCTGTTTTATGTCTTTTCCTTCAGCAAGAGTAACCATCGTGGGTTTCTTATGAATGTGGCATGTTTGTGCTAAAAGCTAACGCCGTAGTTTCTACAAGAATGGCCACCGTGGGCTTTTCTTGAGATCATGTGGTGTGATGGTGCTCTGACCAGGAGACCAAGATAAAGGCGTCTTCAGCAGATGCGCTAGACGAGCGTGATTCCCACAGTCACATGTTTACACACTGAATGGGAACATATTTTTGTCATTGAATCAATTATTCAAAAACACTTGATTCATCCAGTAATAAAACAAGTGAAGTCTTAATGAGTGAGTCATTGATTTAAAATAAAAAAATGAAATATTCAAATTCATTAAATATGAAATAGATTTCAGTAATGAACATGTTGTGGGATCCTCTTGTAAATCGGTGCAGAAAGCGAATGCAGCTGGAGTGAGTTCGGCACGTTCACCAAGCAGCGTTTCCGGCCACAGAAGCAACAACATTCATTAGTGATGGCAACTTTATTCATGAAAGCTAACGTATAAACACTTAAATAATAATAAAAAGAGTTCCAGTTACTAGAGATGAACTGAACCACATGCAGGCCACAGCACAACTCTTTCAAGACCCAGAAAGATAGTAAAGACATTGTTAAAATAGTCCATGTGACAACAGTGTTCAACCTTAATGTTATGAAGCAAAAAAATAACGACTTTATTTAACGATTTCTGATCCTCCATGCCAGTCTGCTAACCCGCTAAACCGTGCAGCGGCTCCAACGAGGTCTTACTGCCTTTCTGGCCCGTGGAGGTCAGTGACGTGCTCCTATGGCTGGTTCAGAAACCTCTTGGATTTCATTTTATCTTCATGTGTGTTCCTAGAATGAGTGGAGGTCTCACTGGTGCGGAAGGTTATCTAAAGGCGCTCTCAGCAGTGCCCACTAATGAACGATCTGGGCGCGAGTACATGGTCCTGATCCTGTGAGTAATGACGGCTCACCTGCTCAGATCAGCAAGAGTATGTTCTGACTGCGGCCGAGTCCAGACGCTGAACTCCACTCACACCTGCAGCGCAACACACACACACACACACACACACACACACACACACGCATGTTAAAGCACACCATCGCTGAGATTAGATACACACACGTCCAATGTTGGGGAAAGTTACTTTGAAAAGTAATGCATTACGATATTGTGTTACTTAGTTACTTTTCTTTAATAATAATGTGTAATATTACTTTTGCGTTACTTTTCCTCACTTGGGCTTGCTGTTCGTTTAAAGCGTCAGCTAAATGAATAAATGTAAGTGAGATTAAAAACAAAGTATATTTGTGTCATTTAATATAGTATGCATATATGCATTTAGCTGTTTTTCTAAAAAAGAATTGTGCAAGTGAGTTGAGTAAACGCATGTTCATATTTAACTACACAGCGAATACAACACCACCTTATTCCCTCAACATGGGGACAGGACAGCGGTCAGTCAGTGTGGAAAAAGTAACAGATATTTTGTAGTAAATTTTAAACATAATGCGTTTACTAGTTACTAATCTGATTACGTAACTGGGGTTCCCCAACACTGCACACGTGTGACACGCTAACAGGCGGAGCCGCTCGCGCACGTACCGTCCAGCTGCGGCTTCTTGGCCATCAGAGCGGCGTCGCCGGCGCTCACCCGGAAGCTAGCCGGCAGCGTGTCCGAGGCGCTCACGCTCATCCCGCGCACGTCTTTGGGCCGGAACTTCTTCCTCCAAGACGGCGCGCGCCGGAAGTTCTTGTCGTCGTCCTGCGGAGGAACAGCTGTGATCAAGCGCTCGGATCTGATAGGGTTAGCCTGAGGAACGGACTCACCTCGTCCAGCCTGCGCTCGGTGCCGGCGGCGATCAGGTGACCGTACTCGTGCTCCAGTAGCGCTCGCGCCTGTGGGACACGGCACAGTCAGCCCACAATACATCAACGCAACCAGTCAAAGATTATATTTCTATTTGCACAGAACAGGCGAAGTACAGCGAAGGGGATGAGGTCAGTGATCGCTGGAATCTGACTCATTCAAACACTGATTCAAACTGATTCAAACACTCATTCAAACACTCATTCAAACGAATTCAAACACTGATTCAAACTGATTCAAACACTGATTCAAACACTCATTCATAAACTAATTCAAACACTGATTCAAACTGATTCAAACACTGATTCAAACTGATTCAAACACGGATTCAAACACTGATTCAAACACTGATTCAAACTGATTCAAACACTGATTCAAACACTGATTCATACACTGATTCAAACACTCATTCAAACTAATTCAAACACGGATTCAAACACGGATTCAAACACTGATTCAAACACTGATTCAAACACTGATTCAAACACTGATTCATACACTGATTCAAACACTCATTCAAACTAATTCAAACACGGATTCAAACACTGATTCAAACACTGATTCAAACTGATTCAAACACTGATTCATACACTGATTCAAACACTCATTCAAACTAATTCAAACACGGATTCAAACACGGATTCAAACTGATTCAAACACTGATTCATACACTGATTCAAACACTCATTCAAACTAATTCAAACACGGATTCAAACACTGATTCAAACACTGATTCAAACTGATTCAAACACTGATTCATACACTGATTCATACACTGATTCAAACACTCATTCAAACTAATTCAAACACGGATTCAAACACGGATTCAAACTGATTCAAACACTGATTCATACACTGATTCAAACACTCATTCAAACTAATTCAAACACGGATTCAAACACTGATTCAAACACGGATTCAAACACGGATTCAAACACTGATTCAAACTCTGCTGTTCAAGTGAAATCTGATGGGATTGGACCAAGTGTGGAAAAAGAGTTCTGAAATCTGATTAGAAATGTAATAAAATTGCCAAATACTCCAACGTTTGTATCATGTGCTATATGTACATTTACATTTTACACTTGATTTGTTTATGCATTAGTAGAAGACTATTTATGACGTGAACTGCAGGTTATCGTGTCCGACTCCAAACGCAGAAGGACCGGTGTGTGACCTCTGACCTGTGTGCACTGCGTGGGGATCTGCAGAAGCAGAGCGAGGGCGTTGTGGTCGAAGGTCTCGTCGAGGGCGATGAGCGCTCCATGAACCCCGCTCTCCAGGAGATTGCTGGCGTAATCCTTCAGCCCGATGGCCTGAACCCAGCTGACCACACGCTCGTTCGACCACACCAGCACATCTGCACACACACACACACACGTTCAAGGACACAACACGACCACACACAGGTGAAAATAAAGGAGAAACCACGAAGCGCTCACCTTTGACCTCCACCTGTGACTCCTCACGCCTTCGCTCAAGGTCTTTCCGGTCATAGTTCAGACGTCTCAAACACATCACACCGCTCTGAAAACTGTTCCTGCAGAGAGAGAGCGCCACACACACACACACACCGTGAAGAGGATCAGCCCGTAATACCGTTTGACCTCACTGAGTGAATTAAAGGTCATCCGGCTGGTTCGGCTCATGGCGTGTAACAGCTCGGACTGGAGCGTGTGTGAGATGCATGAGCGCGACCCACTGACCTGTGGAAGCTGTCCACCATCTTCAGCTGTCCGCGGAGGTCTTTCTTGGTCAGGTGATCCAGCATCCGCGCGTCCACCAGCGACTCCATGAAGTAGCTGCGGTACTGAGGCAGACCCAGACTCGGCAGCCAGTCGTTCCCGATCCACTCGTGGTTCATGTCACCGTAGGCCAGAGTCTGAGCGCACACACACACACACACACACACTCAGCCCAATGGAGAGCACAGTGAGCTGAACCTGACGCTATAATATTCAGTCACTCCGCTGACGACGAACTGAATAATGACTCTGAATAATGGGAATCTGCATTGTTGATTGTGTTGCTGCTTTTTAACGATATGCACTGTATAAAGTGCGGTAGAAATAAAGCGCTACACGTTCAGAGCCTCACACTGAGCTCATGACTTCACCAACATTAACCGTCATCAGAAGCGTCGAGAGCACGTCCACGTCACAGTCCTCCACACACCCTCAGGACTCTCAGCTCGACTCTCTGAGGTCAAATGTGACATGAACGTGATCACGAGACCTGCGTGTGTGTTGTGCAGTAAAACTACGGCAGAGGTGTGTGTGTGGAAGAGGTTCAAACCTGCGCCCAGCCGCCCTCCTCGTCCTCCTGGGGTTAGCGTGTTAGCAGGTTAGCATGTGGAGCGAGGGGAGGCGATCAGTAGCAGAAGAGCAAATACAGTAAAACATCACACACACACACACACACACACACATCAGCTGACTGACCGTGAGCGGCGTGGCGGCCAAACTCTCCATCTCCTCGTGTGTGAGCCAGACATTCCCAGAAGACTACAGTGAGTGAGGGCGGGAAACAAGTGCGGACAGCAGTGGAAGAGGAAGAGTGTGTTAGTGAGCAGCAGGAACACTCGTGGAGGCGCTCCAACATCCCATCAGGTGTTAATGTGTGAGGCATGCGAGAGACAGAGAGAGCAGTGTGTGTGTGTGTGTGTGTGTGTGTTCTCATCACTCTGAATCCAATCCAGACCAAACATGATTTTTGATCATAATATTTTGACAAACACACATTACAGTGTTGATCTAAAATAAAGCATGACGCTGGAATAAAATGTTTAAAAGCAGAGACTCTTCTGATATATAATGACTCGTACAGCAGAATATTCTGGGAGACAAAAACTGTGAATATGATCAAAAATGCTGACCGGCAACTGTTTTAGACAACACTGGCAGGAAAGAGTTTGATATTCGATATATGGTGATTTCTGCTTTCTGATGAGTGGCGTGCCGACGTCTGTGCATCTCCTGTGCTCACGCTGGAGCGACGGCAGCACACGCACCTCTAACTAGGGTTGGGTATCGCTTGAATTTGAACGATTCTGATTCCGATTCCTTGTTTCGATTCCGGTTCCTGACGATTCTCGATTCTTTTAAGAGGCAGGGTCAAAAAAGTTTAGCTAACCTTGCTAACCAACGGCCTTTCTGAAGGAAATACTCCTCCTGTAAAAATACTCCTTTTGTCACAAATTTTGCATTTTGCCGAGATTTCGTTATTTTTAGAAAAGTGAAGCCACACTTTGGATCGCCGACGTCAGCTACTCGACTCTGTTCGACTCGCGCGGTTATGCCAACACTTCCGGTAGACGCTTCTTCGTTGGTGTTGTTCAGCGGTTTCTTCTTCCGCTCGGCGGACTGTGAATATCGAAACTAGGAATCGGAATTTTTACTTTTGAACGATTCCGGGAAAAACGAAAAGTTAGTCTCGGTTCCAATCGATACTCGATACCCAACCCTACCTGTAACCCTGAGGTGTGTGTGTGTGTGTGTGTGTGTGTGAGTCCTACCGTTCTGGAGGTCGGAGGCGCCGACGGGCTCGTGAGGGACATGATCTCCTGGATCGCCAGCCGCAGTTTGAGGCGGTGGAGAGGGTTGCTGATGCCGATCTCGCGCTGGATCTCGGTGTCGGACAGCGCAGACATGATGGCGCCGCTCTTCACGTTGGCACGACACGCGGCCACATACCATGCAGGCATCCCGACCCACAGCTGAGAAACACAACACACACTCCATCATCGGGACACGCTGCTTTCCTCATGACCACACTCGGACAGGTGTGTGTGTGTGTGTGTGTGTGTGTGTGTGTGTGTGGTACCTCGAGCCACACCACGACGGTGGGACCGTCCCACTGGGCGAAGGGAAGACCCTGCCGACACGCTTCCTCCAGCAACTCGTGTCTGGGAACACAGAGAGAACATTATGAACGCGCGTGTGAGCGAAGAGTGTGTGTTATGATGTGCAGAAATATGAAGCATTCGCACGGCCAGAGAACAGCTCATGAACAGATCAGAGGAAAAGAGAGAAAGAACTTCCACCAACAACCCATCGCCAGAACATCCAGGGATTCGGCCAACTCACCATCTCAAAGCACTAACTTTACTTTCCTCATTTATTTAAAGCTCCCCGCTTTTAAAACTCACTTTAATTCATGGGCTTGAGTGTTGATGTTCTGTCAGCTGTTTAACTGTGTCTCTGCTCCTGTCGTGTGTTTATAATTTGTCTGAAATGATGTCAGTGTTCAGCACTTCGGTTGGTTTAAATGTGCTTTACAAATAAACTTGTCTGGTATGTTGTGTCCAATCAATTCCCCACGACACAATCAAGCCCCGCCCACACGTGTCCTTATTCCAGAAGCGCTTCTCTCGATATAGAGGAGAAGAGACCAGCTTCCCTTTCCTGAGACACTTTCTTCATCACAGCACATCAGGCAATCGCTGCGGTATTAAATCCTGCTTTATAAACAGAGATATCTCTTAATCAAAGCAGAAATCTAGGAATTAACCAATAGAGTTATGAAACCTTCACCATGTGGTTAACCCCTCGACTCAGAGCGTGTGTAGTGTTGTGAAGGTCAGGAGGTTAGAAGAGCATCACAGCAAGCATGAGGCGTGCAGGGGGTTTCATGCTCCACACACACACACACACACACACACAGACGGACACTTACCCTGAGTTTGGGCTATGAGTGACACATGAAAGAGTGTGTGAGGAGAGAGGAGGGAAAACAACCAGAATGAGCTACTGCAGGACTGATGGGTAACGACACATGAATCATAATGACAGCAACACAGGAACTGCCGTGACCCCGATACACCAAACATGAACCCATGATTTCACACGTGTGTAACGTAAAGCTGCAATTGTGCATGTAAACGTGAGTCACATGACTGGAGATCCGAATCTCAGCTCATCATCACTATGGTCAGACGCCCCTGAACCGTGTCGTGTTTATTTAGTTATATTTGTTATCCGATCGCGTGCTAACGAAATTTGAGCACGGAGTATATCGGGGCCTCAACACTTCACAGTGACTGGCGGGCGAACTGAAGCGGTGTGTGTGTGTGTGAGCGTGGGCATGACGGCAGGGCAGTGTGTCGAGTGAAGCGTCAGTTTCTGCACTCACTCAATAGTATCCAGCTGCAGACCCGCAGCACACCAGTTTCAGAACCCCAGCGCCAGAACCGGAAGTAAGGGGCGGAGTTACGTTCTAACCAACAACAGCGCCAGCGTCGTAAGTGAGGGGCGGAGCTTAGGTTTGAAACCTAATAACGCCACCTAACGTAATATGGAGGGTATTTTACACATGAAACAGCTTATTGAACAGGTTATGATGCTACATTACAGTACAATAAGCATTTAAAACATTGATTTTGTGTAATATAATTGTATATAGTTTCAGTTATCTTTAGTTATTGTATGAGTTACTTCCTGATCATGATGGTGAAAAAATAATACTTGAAACGTATGGTCATTTTAATGTATAACAGTTTAATAATTTTATCTAGCTAAGCAGTTTACGTGCTAGGCTACGTGTAGATTTACGAAGGTAAGACCTTTGTTTGTTTTTTATGAAGAAGTTAACTTTATAAAATAAAGCTTTGAAAGATATAAAACAAGACAAGCATTGGAGGTTTTCAAAATTATACACAATTCGATAACTCATTAGACCTCTGTGATATTTTATGTTATATTTATTTATTGTGTTTGCAAAAATATTACATTGTTTTGAAATTGGAGATATCTATTTGTAAGATGATTTTGATTGTTTAATAAAAAAATAAAATAAAAAATGCATGGGTATTTTTGATAAAATATACTTTATTTCACAAGAACATGTGCAGCATGGATTTTTTTTCGTGTCAAATAATAATGTCAAAATCTAAAAAAGAGAGAGAAAATTCGGCATTGTTTTAAACGAAACAATAAAAATCTATAGCTACAAATGACCAATTCAACTCTAGGCCTGATTTATCACAACAATCTTGTATACATATAACTTACAATCTATCTAATGATGAACTCTCTCAGGCCCATTTTGTCCTAAATAACTATAATGCAATAATAATAATAATTCCACCCCTCCCTCACTTCCGGTTCTGCAGCTGGATATATCTCCACTCACTCTACGTTCTTTAAGCAGTTTCCCTTTAAAACTATTGAATATGGATATTACATATGAATGCTGTTGATGTGTCACTCACTTCTTCTGCAGTTTCCTGCTCTTCTCTGCGGGGCCGCCCAGTTTGCCGAGTGTCATGGTGTCCGGTGAGCCGCTCCCTTCAGGCGTTCCTGCCGCTGATCCACACACACACACACACACACACACACAGAGAGCTCGTCAGAGTGAGTGTGATGTGATTTCTGACTGTGTTTCTGTGATTCGACCCGTGTACGCCTGTATTTACTGCTGATCTACACACGCATGTGAACGCTGTTATATATATACTGCTGAATATAATGTACGATAATTCTCATTTACATTTTTGCGTTTAGTAGAAGCTTTTATGCAAAGACACTTGCATTTTATTCAAGGTGTTCACATGTTTATCAGTTCTTGCTTTCCCTGGAGTTGATCCCATGATCCCATGTCACGCTCTACTGTTAAACGAGCATCAGTTGCAGGGATGAGAATATGGGGCACATTTTAACGAAGTAAGATCAACAGTGTGTAAACAGCCTGTGTTTGATTTATTTCAGAGCAGATTCAGTCTCGACACGACCCCATTAGGGGTTCAAGTATATAAATGTGTGTTTTGTGTTTTGGTGTCGCTGGTTTGTCTCGATCGGACTCTTATTGGATCGTGTCGAGACTTTGAAGCTGAAACTGAAACTCACATCTGACCTTCGACCCGTTGGACCCCATTGAAGACACTATATGGAGAAACCCTGGAGTGTGTTCCTGAGCAGTGTGTGTGGCGCGGATGAGGAGTGTGTGATACACACCTGGCACAGGAGACTCTTTGCCCACAGCACCGGCTCGACTCTTCTCCTTCTTGGCGAACAGACGGCCGATGGAGACCTTGATGCTCTTCTTCTTGGTGGCCTTGTTGAGCGAGTCCTGACTGCTGTTACTGCTGCTGGGGTTACTGTCCTGCAGGCCAGCGCTGCACACACACACACACACACACACGTCACCGCTCTGACCCTGCACCAACACTCACAGTATGCCCGTTTCAGATTACTAATGTTTTTGTCTGTTGCGACGGTCACTGTCAGATTACGTGATCTCGACTCCTACAATCTTAGACTGCCATCTCACTCACTCTCTCACTCACTCTCTCACTCACTCTCTCACTCACTCACTCACTCTCTCTCACTCACTCACTCTCTCTCTCTGTCTCTCTCTCCTCTCTCACTCTTTCTCTGTCTCTCTCTCTCTATCAACTCAGAGTCGATGGAGGAGTGATGCATCTCAGATTTAATCAAGAATATCTTCATTTGTGTCCCGAAGACGAACGCAGGTCTTACGGGGTTGGTACAGCATGGGGGTGAGTAACTAATGACTTAATTTTTATTTTTGGGTGAACTAACCCTTTAAACATGCTAGTCTTTTTATGATGTCATGAAGCATCGCAGAAGCTAGTGGGTTTTTCTCCTGTCTGAGATGAAACGATCGAATCCTGCGTCCCAAACCCCACGACACCTACGTCAAACAGATCTGCCGAAATGGAGTAATCTGACCCAGGCATTAGCATGAAGATGAGCTAGCGTCACTGACCCGCGCACGTCTCTGATGTCCTCGTGGCTCGAGGTGTGTAGCGATCCCTTATGGAGGCGCATGGAGGACGGCGTGGACGGAGGAGACGTCTCACATCTGATGGTGGCTTTATCGTCCTGAGCACACTACACACACACACACACACACTGCATCAGTTAAACACAGACCTAAAACACACTCAACATTATCATTTCTGAAGATCATTTCCAGTCTGATGAAATCTATAAATGTATTTCTACATGTATTCGGTTTGCAAAATGTAAAACCATACTTTTTTCCCAGTTTCTCCCTATTTCATGACAATTATACAAGTGTGTTTGATATATGAATGTTAATGAATTAGATGTTAAAAAGCTCTTAAATTTACTCTGTCGAGCGTCGATGAACAACTGATGTTGTTTTTTGGAGCCAAATTGACCTTCAAAACATGTTTTGTGTTGCACAGAGGATGACGGGGTGAACTGTGCCTTTAAGACTCATTACTAAAAACAATTTTTTAACTAAACATGTGAGGAGAAACAGTTCCCAATAATAATCACTATAAACCGTAGCCTGCATTTTGTAAATAGACGAGTTAATTTCATGAAGAGTCGGTCGTAGCGCCCAGTCCTGCTCATCCCTGGATATCAACATCTGTAAGGTGTGTGTGTGAGTGTGTGTGTGAGCTCTACACGTGTCCAGAACCGGTTACACATGCGCAGGTTCTCTAAATTACCTTCCTACGATGTTTCCGCAAATCGCTAGGCTGTTGAAGCGCAAGCAAATGGAGAAAGAGAAGAAACAGGCAGTTAGCAGCGTTTCAGATTAAAGCACAGAAGCTGCTGAGAAAAGATCACACACACACACACACACACACACACACACACACACACACACAAGAAAAGCAGGAGGCGTCAATGTCAGTGCAGAGGAGAGACAGGTGAACACACACACACACACACACACACACACACACAAGAAAAGCAGGAGGCGTCAATGTCAGTGCTGAGGAGAGACAGGTGAACACACACACACACACACACTACTCTCTCACACACTCTAGAAAAGCCGGAGTCGGAGCAGAGGAGAGACAGGTGAACATGAACACACACTCACTCACTCACTCACCAGGGTCATGACCCCCATGCGGTCGAGCTCTCGCCGGGGTGTGGTGTGTCCTGATCCGGGTGGAGACTCGCTGAGGAAGGACCGGAAGCGGCCCAGATCCTCTCCACTGCCCACTCGACCTTCGATCTGCTCGGCTCTCAGCGTCGTGTTCTCCTTCTCCTCCTGGATCATCCTGTCAGGACACACACACACACACACAGGGTCAGAGTGCGGCACTGCACACGACAGGGTTTTGGATGTGAGCAAAACACGTTGTTTTTGCGTGTGTTTCTTTAAATGCAAATGAGCTTTAGCTCCGCCTCCATTCAGAAGAGGGCGGAGTCTTCACACGATCTTCAGAGACTCCGGCAATATCAACACAGGCCAATCGTGGATTTGCAAAGTTCAACCATCATAGAGTGAAAGTTTAGCATGAGTGCTGTACCGTATCTCGTTGTTGATGGCGTGTTAGCATGAGTGCTGTACCGTATCTCGTTGTTGATGGCGTGTTAGCATGAGTGCTGTACCGTATCTCGTTGTTGATGGCGTGTTAGCGTGAGTGCTGTACCGTATCTCGTTGTTGATGGCGTGTTAGCATGAGTGCTGTACCGTATCTCGTTGTCGATGGCGTGTTAGCATGAGTGCTGTACCATATCTCGTTGTTGATGGCGTGTTAGCATGAGTGCTGTACCGTATCTCGTTGTTGATGGCGTGTTAGCATGAGTGCTGTACCGTATCTCGTTGTTGATGGCGTGTTAGCGTGAGTGCTGTACCGTATCTCGTTGTTGATGGCGTGTTAGCATGAGTGCTGTACCGTATCTCGTTGTCGATGGCGTGTTAGCATGAGTGCTGTACCGTATCTCGTTGTTGATGGCGTGTTAGCATGAGTGCTGTACCGTATCTCGTTGTCGATGGCGTGTTAGCATGAGTGCTGTACCGTATCTCATTGTTGATGGCGTGTTAGCGTGAGTGCTGTACCGTATCTCGTTGTTGATGGCGTGTTAGCATGAGTGCTGTACCGTATCTCGTTGTTGATGGCGTGTTAGCGTGAGTGCTGTACCGTATCTCGTTGTTGATGGCGTCGAGCTGCTCCTGCAGCATCAGGGCGAGGGTTTGAGCGTCTGCCTGTCCAGCAGGAGACAGAAGATCCATGGAGCTGAAGACCGTCTCTCTGTCGTCCTCAGCGTCTGACATGTCCAGATCGCTCTCGAACGCGTGAGCCACGTTAGCCAGAACATTAGCCTGTTGCAGCCGATCCCACTCCTGCTCGTCCAGCGTCTGCACCTGCCAACAACCACAGCAGAAATCACACCAAACGCATCGGGACGCAACATCAGTTCTCCCACTATCTGTTCGTAACGTCCCCGAAGGTTGTGTGTGAATAACAGCGGTTCGAACCCACAGCTCTGAGTTTACAAGAAGCTAAGGACACCGGACGCCCTTCGTCTCTCTTACGTTAAAGGGTCATGAAACCCCTGCATTAATCTGGTCCTTCACACCTCAGAGTTGGGGAAAGTCTCAAATGAGTGTAGAGGGGAGACAACAACCAATAAAACACAGAGCTGCAACACACTCATTATACAGACACGAATATCAATGACCTCGGAGAGAAAAAAACACAGTTTAGGTTAAAAATCGAACCCGATACTGCCGCAGCCAATCACGCGCTTCTACTTCACATTCGGCCAATCACACTGTACGAGTGCTTTTAGTGTTCTGAGTGATGTGCAGCCTGTCCATATCTGTTCAGATCTCGAAGTGTTTTGGGGTTTCATGACCCTTTAATGACGAGGTCAGGGTTCATGTTGTAGAGGAGAGGATCTGTCGGGACTTCACCTTGGAGGGCTCGTCCCTCAGCGCACACGCTCGGCCCTTCTGGGGTCGTCGGAGCACCAGCGCGCCACTGTAGTGACTGTCTATCACTGACGACACCGACACGGGGAACCTGAAGTCCGGCGTGCCGCTCACCTGAGAACGCCTGCGGGAGAACACCAGCGTCACCACACCGAGCAAACACACCAACACTGGCTCCATTACACGCGCTGGACTTACCCATGATGCAGCAGAGAGTTGCTCCGGCTCCGCCCCCTCTCGTGCTCCGCCCTCATGGTCTCGATCTGGATGAGCAGCTGCTCCTGAGGTCACAGGTCAACACGAGCGAGTGAGTGAGGGAGAGACAGACACTTAGCTATCGATTATTTTAGTACTCGAGTATTCTGCCGATTATTCCATCAATTAATCGAGTAAACGGATAAAATGTGTTTTGAAGAATGACTTTAAAATGATTTAAAATAGAAATATATAATAACAAGCAATAACAACTGCTTCAAATAAAGTATGAAAGTTAGTTATCATATGAGTTTATATTGAGCATACACCATGAATGATATAAAGCAATATAGACATAACACGTGTGCCAGAGGCTGACCTGGAGTCAGCTGCGCTTACACTACCCTGATCTAATCCTGCTGTAATACTGGCCAAACAACACTTTCAGATGGCCACTGAACCTTTAACCTTTGGTCACTTCTGTGCGACACTCTCCGCTGTAGTTACTCGAACAAGAACATGTGACATTAAAACATGCAAACATGGGTTAAAGAAATCGTGATGAACAACAATCTGCATATTTAGAGACATTTCTGTGTTGTCCAGAGTGGGCGTGGCTTCACAGATGAGTTACGGCACAGATCTGAACTGTAGTTTTAACGTGTAATCTGCACGCGTGTGAATAATTAAAGCGCATACATGTATTGCACAACAGCACGCCTACTGTACACTCATGATGGTAAAGGGTTTTGTGTGGCGTAGCCGTTCTCTCTGCGGATCGACACGATGGCGTCGCGGACGTTTTTAAACGCGGAGCGGAGACGGCTGACACTGACCTTCTCGTGATGAGCCTCCTCGATCAGCTTCCTTGTGTGCTCCAGATCCCGGATCAGCGCGTTCTGCAGCACACACAGCACAGCGTGTGAGAGAGAGAGAGAGTGTGTGAGAGAGAGAGTGTGTGTGTGTGTACCTTGTCCTCCAGCGCGCTCATGCGCTCCTTCAGGTGCAGCTGGAGTCTCTCGTTGGACTCGGACAGCAGTTTGTCCACCGTCTCCGACAGGCGTTTGTTGTGTTCTTCGTTCATCTTCTCTCGCTGACGCGCCTGACGAACACACACTCCAGTCAGTGCTTTAGTGTATCGTATCTATACTGCAGCCTTTCAGCTTGCGCGTGCAAAATTCACAATTGAATGAATGTGTAGCAATTTGTAAACTGTTAAAAGAAAAGGCTCAATAAACTACTGCATAGATAGATACTGTATAATTCACTGTCCATCAATATGTATTTCCTTTGTGCTTTGAACTGTTCAATGCGGACTCGTACTGTAACTCCGTGTGGCTTCAAGCGCATCGCATGAGCGCTGTGTGCCGCACTGTACTGAGCCTTTCATATCATAATGCAGTGACGCAATGACAGATTATTAATGGTCTTTCTCGTTCTGTCCTGTCTATCATATGTTGCTGCCTCATTAAACAGATGGACTATACATCTAAAACATGTTGTCTCAATTTTATAGAAGCCTTGGCTATATCTAAAATAATTTATCTTTTTGATTTTTGTTATCTTGTTTTTCATGAATGTATTTTACAATAATACAAAGAGCAGCGTGTATTATCCACTAATATAGTTTATAATAGCATTTGTCATAGATTATGATCATATATTTTGGAGATTTCTTTATAATGAAGTTGTCTATATTAAGTAGATTGTGTTTAACACACACAAGAGTGATTATCAGTTCAACACATAGAGTTATAAAAATTCCACTAGAGTTTTAAAAACAACTGCGCTAGTATCGGATCGGTATCGGTCGATACTCAGAAAATTTGGTATCGGATCGGTTCTGAAAGATGGTATCGTGGATCCCTAGTTTTAATATCCCCGTCTCACTGCATTAACACAGTAAAGTTTCTCTTTATAATAATAAACTACACAGCATATAACGCAACGGTTCACGTAAATCGCATTTTCCTTCCTGTGAGAGTGTGTGTGTGTGTGTGTGTGTGTGTGAACACTGATGAACACACTCTCTGAGCAGCTCCTGGGTGTGTGTGGGTGTGAGTGTGTGTGTGTGTGTGTGTGTGTGTGTGTGTGTGAGAACACTGATGAACACACACCCTGAGCAGCTCCTGGTTCTTCTCCTCCAGCTGAGCCTCCATCTGTCTGAGACGCTCCTCCACGTTACCATGACGCTCCTCCGCCTGCGACACACACACACACACACACACACACACAACAGACAGAGCAGATTCGTCAGGCTGAGCCGGAGTTAGTGAAGAGCTGATGTGTGTGTGGAGGATCTGGATCCAGGCGTCAGTGTTCCTGTGTTCGGCTCATGGGGAACTGATGAACACGAGCCGCAGATCACACACACACACACACACACACACACACACCTTAGTGAGCGCCACGACTCTCTGGGCCAGCTCTGCCTCCACCTCGGGCAGCGTCTCTGCTTTACGAAGAGTTTGTTGAAGCTTCTGCTCCGCCAGCTCCAGTCTCTCCTGCAGCTGCCGGCTCTTCTCCTCCACCTGCACACACACACACACACACACACACCGATCATCAGACACATGCACATCGCACCGGCACACACACACACACACCGATCATCAGAGTGAGTGAGTGACAGAAACCAGTGGCCGGCAGTTCTCCACAGACCTGGCAGAACAGCGAGTCCTTGTTGGCGATCTCATTCTCCAGCTTGTCGTTGAGGTCGTGCACAGACGTGGCCTCCCTCTGAGCCGCCAGGTAGCGCTTCTCCAGCGTCGTGATCCTCTCCTCCATGTCCTCCTTCTGGGCCACAGACTGAGAGAAACACCAGCGGCGTACGGTCAGTAGTGTTGGGACTGGACTGTGTCCAGATTTCAGCGCCACTCAAAGGACAGTTCATCCAAATCTGCCGTCCTCTGTGTGTGAGTGTGTTTATATGAACTATCATCAACCCAGAACACCAACAGTGAAACCCGTAACTGTGTTCGGGAGAGTCTCTCTGAGGGCGGTCAGATCTCGCTCTCCTTCTGCCGTATGAAGAGGATCTAATTATAATATTCCCCTTAATCTGCACGTTCACACACACACACGTCGTATAGGCTTGCCGCGATAGACGGTGTTGACGGTGTTACCGGTTTTAAGCCCCATCACCGGTGACATCACTTTCCCACCGTGACACCGCGATGTCTTGACTTTTTTTTTTTAAAGTATTCGTTTTTGCTAAAATATTTATTTGAATTAATTAAAAATAATAATTTTCAATTATTTAGTTGTGAAGAGAGCATTATAATTAAAAATGAACTGCGCAACGCGTGCCGTCACGTCACAGATCAGCAAGCATCAGGATTCCATTTAGCGCGTGTGGAGACGAGAACAAGTCAAATTACAGAAAAGCAAGATAATGGCGGAAGATTTGGTGTCAAAACGCAATGCAAAAGCGCCTGTTTGGCAATATTTTGGCCAATATATATTAATGTTAATAAATGCCAATTTATAGTGTTTTACTTTTTTTTAGAGTGCTGTCATTTATGTAGGCTAAGGTCCTTTTTAAAGTTTTTATTTTATATTCGTCTCTTTTTATTTGGTTTTATCTTATTTAAACTTTGTTTAATTTATTTAGGCCTATTTTGTTTTCTTATTCGTTAATAAACGTTTTATTTTTTTTGGGCCCACAGTTTGCCGATTTTCACTTTTTTCAGCCTATGCATGGGGTTATTTTTATTCGTTCGTTATGCTAATAAAAGTTCTGTCTATATTTTATTCGTTTATTATTCTAATAAAAGTGCTGTCTAAATAAAAGTTTATTGTCAGCGAGTTGTTTTTTTTTTTTTTTTTTTTTTTTTGTCCATTCCAGCAATTGACGCTGAATTGCAATTGACGCTTATTTCGAAAGTGAAAGTATGTCATTTATGTAGGCTAAGGTCCGTTTTGAAGTTTTTATTTTATATTCGTCTCTTTTTAATTGGTTTTATCTCATTTAAACTTTGTGTAATTTATTTAGGCCTATTTTATTTTCTTATTCGTTAATAAACGTTTTATGGTTCTTATTTGTTTGGGCCCACATTTTGCCGATTTTCACTTTTTTCAGCCTATGCATGGGGTTATTTTTATTCGTTCGTTATGCTAATAAAAGTCTATAAATAAAAGTTTTATTATCAGCGAGTTGTTTTTTTTGTCCATTCAAGCAATTGACGCTTATTTCGAAAGTGAAAGTATAACGCGCACGCATTTAAAAGCTATTTAACCCCCCCGCCCTGCCCTCCACGGTGACACCGGGATTACCGGTGTTGTCACACGTCGATTAACCGGTGGGAAATTTTCCTCACCGCGGCAACCCTAACGTCGTACCTCGCGTATGTCTCTCTGCAGTCGGCTGTTGAGGTCCTCAGACTTGATCAGGTCTCTGCGGGCCGTGTCCAGATCCTCCTCCAGCTCACACACTCTCGCGCTCAGAGTCGACACACACTCCTTCATGTGCAGGAGCTCTTTACTCTGAGTGTCCACCGCCTCCTGCAGGTCCCCGTTCTTCCCACAATCCTCCTCGGCGTACAGAGACACGTCTGACAGGCGCTGCTGTAACCACACACACACACACACACACACTGACTCGACTGAGCAGTTTCACAATATCCGCCAGTGACATTCACAGATTCTCATCGACAAACTTAATAACAAAAACTCAAAAACAGCGTTTCTGTAGTATTTCCTGTACAAGTATTGCTTCACGTCCTCAGCGGACAGATCATTTCTCTAAAAGGCGCTGTGCTAATCTGAAGAAAGAAAGCCAAACGCATCTGGGTAATGCGGGTAATCGCTTGAGAATCCCTTTAATTGGAGGCTTAAATCAATGATTCATCAGACATTATGATGGATTCGAATTCACACACACTCAGGAGATCCCAGCTGAGCTACTGACGACACACACACTGTTATCGAGACTGTGTCTGAGAGCTGGACCTTCACAAATGTTTATTAAAAGAAAGACATTTTCAACCATGAACGAATTTGGATTTGGCGTTGGACGGCACCAGCCCAGACGAGAGCGTCGAGTTTATCCGAGCTCATCAAATCTATTGATGGTATAAAGTGACGTGTCGTGTTACCTTGCCATTAGTGTTCGGAGCGCCATCGTGGTTGAGTTCTGCTGAGCCGTCCACACACAGCTTCCTCTGACTGCTCTGCTCCTTCACGAACGCCAGCTACAACACACACATGAGGTCATCACATGCACAACTACACACGTGCGCTTCAGTCTTTAGGGTCATCATGTAAACTGGGCAGCATTCTTTAGCTAAAACTCCTCAAGGGTTGTATGAAACACACTCGGTGCATGTCTCTCGGTGGACAGCATACAAACGGCTGGAGGAAAACATGCTAATACGGGGAACATGCTAATCTGGCGGTCGTGGGCGGAGCAATATTGCTCAGAACATCCCGACGGCTTGATTATTGAGAGTGTTTAGGCTTTCTGAGGGGGAATGGATGATGTGATGTTTGTGTCCACACACTGCAAAGACACATTCATATGCAAACATCATATAAAAGCGAATTTAGCGTCCGATGAGCCGTTACCCAGCGTGACGATGTAGAAGTGAGTCTCACCTCTTTATGTGAGGTGGTCAGCTGTTCCTCCAGCAGACTGCATCTCTCCAGAGCCACTCGCAGACGCTCACGCACCTGAAACACACACACACACACACACACGTGAAGCTCAGCCCACACCCGCCGCAGACCGCAGCTGAGGCTCGTCCGATGCGCACCTTCTCGTCCAGGGCCTTGTGGTGCTCGAACAGAGACTTGAGGGCCTTGAGCACCTCCACCTCACTGGAGACGCCAGCGGGAGACTGAGCCTGACGCTTCACCACCGTCATCCTCAGGGAGCGCTCGTGACGAGACACCAGACACTCCAGGTGCTCCAGCAGCAGCTGAGGACACACACACACATAAATCAAACCATTCAAAACCTTCAATTGACAGAGAAATGCTGGGCGTACAAATAACTGATCATATCAGCCCTAAAAACAAACAAGCGTTCCAGTGATGAGACTAAAATCAGCTGACGTCTGGCTGGCGATGTGACGACATGTAACGGAGAAGTCCTGATGAAGGACAACAGATGACACACACACAGTGTATATATCAAGAGTTCAGATGCAAAAGCCTCTCAGTGTCATTTGAAATTTTCTTCTAGAATGATCATTTTTATCAAGCTTGTATATTTAAGTTCAGTGATTTCACCCAAATGGAAAAGAAGATGACCTATGAATTGTCATGTAAGTGAAACTTATAAACAAGCCTGATAAACATTATCATTCTAGAAGAAAATTATAAAATGGCACTTCGAGGCTTTTGCATCTAAAATATATATATATAAAGAGTGTAACGGTTCACAAAATTCACAGTTCGGTTCGATACGATACACTTGTGTCATGGTTCGGTACGTTTCCAATACAGCAAAAAGAAAGAAATGGCAGAGAAATTTTCTTGATTTTTTTTATTATATTATTATTAAAACTAACATCATAAAGTATGATCTTTTTTACTTTGAGCAGTGATGGAGCTACCATATAAAAGAAAACAGCCTTTCTCATGTCGCTGTCTGAGAGGTCAAAGGTCATGCACATTCACCCGTGTCCTGGCTTGTCCTACACAGACTGAGATTTCCCTGAATCTTTGCACAGTATTATATATTGTAGATGGTGAAGACTTCAATTCTTTGCAATCTCGCATTGAGAAATGTGATTTATGAATTGTTCTCGTGACATTCGGCACAAAGTGGCGATACATGACCCATCTTTGCTTGCAACGAGTGAGAAGCTCTTTTACGCCCAGCAAAAAGGAAAACATTGGAAATGTAAACATTTTTACGTGAAAACATTGGAAATCTTTTCTTTGTTGGTTAAAAAAAATGTTCAAGAGATTTAAAAATCACAGATTGAGGTTTTTATTTCATTTTACAAAATGTCCCAACTTTTCTGGAAATGGGGTTTGTAGATCAGTATTTTTTATAGACCATTTCACAAGATGTAAACAGCACTGGTCCAGAAGCACTTCCTGTTTCAGTTTGTAACTGTTTTCATTATTTCACATCTTAAAGATGTTTGTTTAACTTTTTGATTCAGTTTTAAATGTTCTGTAAATGTTCTGTAGTGTTAAAAAACCGAAACAGGAAGTGCTTCTGGACCAGTGTTGTTTACATCTTGTGAAATGGTCTATATGTAACTTGTATAACTCACGCGTGTGTTGTTTCTCTCCGCCTTGAGCTCGGCGATCTCCTCCTCTCGCTCCAGAAGCTGCTCGCGACACATGTTCACTTCCTTCGTAAGAGCAGCAAATTCCTTCAGTGCCATGAAACACAAAACAACATTAAACGGACTTCAACTTCCACTCAGCAAGACGCTATCGTTGACAACATTATCATCCAGCAGGTTATCACAGGAGTTGTTCAAAAGCCTGTTTAAACTGCTAAAGGTCTATATTTCACTGTATTGAAGTCTAAAGCACATCATAGCAAGCGTTTGGGGCCGCTCAGGTCGTGCTGCACCTCTGTCTGTGACCTCTTCTAGTATTCACAAGTGTTTTGTTCATTATTCACTAATGTTAATTCATGCAACTGGCAGGAGTCTTCCACATGCAGGCCTGATTAATTGGTCATTTGTATAATAATATGTATAAGTCTACCTATAATGTGCCCACTGTCACCGTTCTCACAGATTCACGTTTCTGAAATTTACACTGAGATCACTTTTTTTTTTTTAATTAAAAACTTGCACCTTGGAAGCCATTTCACAGTTTGCATTCTCGAGCCACACACTGCTGTCGTGCAAATGACCGGCCAGAACACACTCAACGTTTTCTGTTTTCAGTTAAAACAGTGTCGTGTTAGTGTGTGTTACCTGTGGCAGTGCGCTGTTGAGCTGTCTCTGCAGGGAGTCTCTGTCGTGGCTGATCTCGTGGAGTTTGCTCTGCGTCACACACAGGTTCTCCTGCGTCTCTCGGAGTGTGTCCAGCAGCCGGTCTCTCTCCTCCAGCATAGACACCATCAGAGACTCAAAGTGACCCTCAGAGTCCGTCTGTCCAGGAGAGCCGGAGCCCAGAGCACCTCCGTTCCCACCGACCTCCGCCTCGCTGATGGTGGGCATCACCTCGCACATCATCTAAACACACACACACACACAGCAGAGCATTAAAGATAACAGACAGACAGAAGATCAGATCAGTGACGGACAGAAGATCAGATCAGTAACAGACAGAAGATCAGATCAGTAACGGACAGAAGATCAGATCAGTAACAGTATAGATCAGTAGTATTGTAATTACCTTGAATATCAGCAGGGTTTGTTTCTCCTCTTCTTTATTATGTCCAGTCAATCACAGCCAATAGCAGCTACATTTAAAAGATAAACTACGGCGCAAATTGTTCGTCAAGCCATCAAACTTTTCGACATGAGTAAAATAAGTCACCAATCACTTTTAAAAAGATTGCAGAGTGAGCGAAAAAATAAAGAAAATAAACGAGGCCTTTATAATGAGTGAGAAACATCACTAGATACTAGAGATCTGAGTCTGAAGTGATGGAGAAAACATCACTGATCAATCAAAGACTTCAGAAAAGACCATCAGACTCTTACAACCATTCATTTACACTCAAATACACATAAACATCATATAAATACAAAAATACTCATATATAAATAAACTCCAACAGCGGCCTGCGCTAGTTAGCATTAGCAGCTAAAGTAAGAGTAATCAAAATTATAATCATTTATGCGCAGGAATAAACGAATTTTAGCGTTTAAAATCGACGCGTAAACCCGACGTTTACTGACATGTTGTAATTTGAAAATATGAATTAATGAATCGCGTTTATCAGTGTCAATTATTCTGACGCGTCACCATCTGATCCATGAGGAAAAACACCGGGATAAAAGTACAAATCGACCACTTTAAAAGCACAAGGCGCTCTTTAAACGACACTAGCAACAAACAAAGTATTCCGTCGGCCAGTTTGGCTTCGAAAAACAACAATTAATGAAGAAAAAAATAGTTAAAACAAAATTTAAAGCGAGAGTTTGTCGCTGCTCCAGAATCCTGCGCTCGCGAGAGGTCAGGACGTGCTGACGTCACGACGCCAAATCCCGTGGAAGATACAAAGACATCTTCAAAAAAGGGGGAAAAAATAAAAAAGACATGAAAACGCGAAGAATCCAAGTTTCCATGGATGTTATCAATTCATCATCAATGTACTGGTTTTCATTTATTTTCTTTATGTAATCAATCCAAAAACATAGATGGCTTTGTGTGATTCCAATCGGAACTGTCTCACATCTAGAGGGCGCAGAGATCTCTGCATCCACGAATGTCTAAAGTCCATCCAGTTCTTTCATTTATGTTGCTTAGTAATTCAGTTTTAGATTTAAATTAATATTGCCTCTTTCTTGAAAGATATAAGAGGCATAATAGAGATACAAGATACAAGAGACAATGTAAATGTATATATATGAAGAGTTCAGATGCAAAAGCCTCTAAATGCCATTTGAAATTTTCTTCTAAAATTACCATTTTTATCAAGCTTGTATTTTTAAGTTCAGTAATTTCACTTAAATGACAATTAATAGGTCATCTTCATTGCCATTTAAGTGAAATTACTGAACTTAAATATACAAGCTTGATAAAAATGATCATTTTAGAAGAAAATTTAAAATGGCATTTAGAGGCTTTTGCATCTGAACTCTTCATATATATATATATATATATATATATATATAGAGAGAGAGAGAGAGAGAGAGAGAGAGAGAGAGAGAGAGAGAGAGAGAGAGAGAGAGAGAGAGAGAGAGAGAGAGAGAGAGAGAGATTAAACTCAACTATCTTGTCTTATTTTTTTAATAAAAACATTGTAATTCGCAATAACTAAATATTTAAATATTTAGCCTACAAAAAAGGAACAGGGGCCAGAGACAATTTTAACATGATCCGTGGGCGGGGCTGAGTGGGCGGGCCTTTGTCGAGGGGGCGTAGCCTCTCGGTGTGTGTGTGTGTGTGTATGTGTGTGTGTCATGTCTGCTGTTCTTCTTTCTTCTGCTGTCTCTGTCGCGCCACGTTGATCGAGCGATTCTCCATCAGACGCAGGTGAGATCAAACATCGTTCACTGGGAACACTGGTCTAACACACTCTCAGTGCAGCTCGTCGTCCGCCGGGTTATAGTGTTGCTTCCGTGCTTTATGAACTTTGCATGTTATTGTGTCTTAGCAATGCTAACTGTGCTTGTAAAGTGAATAAACATGGAAATCTGCGATAAAACCAGCATTATTAAGCGTGTTTCTCCCGCTGTGTGTTTACATAGTGTTCATTAGTCAGTCAGAGAAAAATATGGAGATCAAGTAAGTTCCTGAAATCAGCACGACACGTGTCACTCAGACCTCGTCTAATTATTACAGTATTGTTGTTATTATCGAACGGTTATACTTTAAACTGACATAGTCTGACATGGTCATAAAGTTTATTTATCTTCATATATACAAAAGAGAACGCATACGGATATCACATAATATCAACCAAAACAATAGCAAAAAATGTTATATAGAGTGTTTTTTTTATATTAAAAACAAGTAATACAAAAATTAGAAAAACATCAGAGGAGACAGGAAAACAAAGGAAATGAAAAAACAGAATCAGCAATATTAATAATACAAGAGAGGATAATCAGAGACATAAATGAGATACAAACTGCGGACAATAAAATGCGACAAGGTTAAAGGGGGATTTTGAAGAGAGGACAACAAGACAATGTTCCCCTTTCTCTGGTCTTCTCTGAAATAGAAAGCGATTAAAGGTTTTGGTGAGATTCGTTGAGAAAGACTTTTTGAATAATGGCTTATGATTGGAAAATGTTTATCAATTTGACATTTGTCTAGGAGAAATAATAGATTTGTAAAGTAAGATTCTTTCTCAAAGTTTTCCTCTGTATTAATAAAACCTAATAAACCATATTTCCAGAATAAAGAAAAATGAGGGTATGTTAGAGCAGCCTTTCTCAAACTTTTTTCAGTCAGGGCACCTTTCAAAAGTGCATAAAATCTCAAGGCACCCCAGTGTAAAATATCATTTAAAAACACTGCATAACCCAAATGTAAATGCAAATGTCTTGTTTAGTTAGACAGAACAGCAATGAACAGAGCATAATATGAACTGTAAATAACAATAATAATAAAAACTTTAAAAACACAGGTTTGCAAAGTAATTCACAAAATAACTAATCAGAGACACAAATGCCATAAAACCGTAAGAGGTGGGCCACCCAATAACAAATCCAGACCAGGAGAACTCAAATGAAGTGCAGGATGCAGTTAAAATAAAATAAAAAGGGGCAGACATTAATATATATATATATATATATAAATATATATATATATATATATATATATATATACAATGCGATAAGAAAAATATGCATGTTAAAAAATGCACCAGAGATAAGCAAGAATGTTTTTCCATATAGTGCTTGTTTTCATCCGTGCCATGCGCATGCACACACACCCACATACACATACACCCACACACACAAACAATAATCCACAACGAGAGAGGGAGAAAGATCTACATGCGTGCATGCAGCGCGCATACGCGCTCACACAAGCCGGCGGTGGGGGTGACCAGACGTGAGCCTGGTGCGATGCACACAGCCGCCCTATCTAGGCAGGGATGGATGAGAGACGGTCAGGTGTCTTAAGTTAGACACAAACGGAGAGGGCATGTTGCATCCCCAGTACCACTGATGAAGCCAAATTTTAGGTAGCCTAACTGTCGTTGTATGTTCTCATTTTAGCCTTGTCTAACGTTACCTTTGCGACCTTTGGTGCCGATTCAGAGCTGGAGGAGGAAGTAGTAGGCTGAGGCTCCATTTCACAGAAAAACTGTCCGGTTCTTGTGGGGATTTTCTTTTCAAAAAACGATCCATGATGCTGTAACTGAAGTGGCCTAAATTCACGTTTATTTTTACGTTTCTGTCAGTCTGAGGTGTTGTTGCTATAACGCGTTGCTATGGATTCCGTCACTTGCGTCAAGTTGTGTTTGTGTCTTGCTTCGGTCTTGTGAGACGGATGTTTATGCTTCATTTTATATATTTATCTAAAATGAATTTACAATTTATGTACGTTCATATGTTTAAAAAGAAGAATGTAAATATGTAAATTCAAATATGTTTATTATTATATATATTTTTTTATTTTTATTTTATTTTTAGCCTACGTAATTTTTTGGCGGCACCCCTGACACAGTCAGGGGGCACCCCAGTGTGCCGCGGCACCCACTTTGAGAAAGGCTGTGTTAGAGAGTGTGTGTGAGAGAGAGAGAGAGAGCTGGACTGACGTCACGCGTGTTTCTTCCGTGTCTCTGCTCCAGTGTTGCTTCATGTCCTCCTCGTGAGCGTGCGCTGTGATTGGTCCTGCTGAGCGTGCGCTCTGATTGGCCGGCTCCTCCTCATCAGCATCAGTGTGTGCTGGGCTTTTGTCTGGGCCTGATCCTGATCCTGATCCGCGGCTGAGGTCCGGCCCGCCGGAGGACTGACGGATGTGTGTGTGCACGGGTTGGTGTGTTGTGCGTTGATGAGCCCTGCTGTGTAGCTCGCCCGCCCCACCCCCCCACCCCGCTCCCTCTCCTCCTGGATAGCCATGTTTGGCACCGAGTCCTCATGTAAGTACCCATCCTCCACCACTGTGTGTGTGTGTGTGTGCCATCCTTCACCACTGTGTGTGTGTGTGTGTGTGTGTGTGCCATCCTTCACCACAGCTGTCTCTCTCTCTCTCTCTCTCTGTCCTGCATGCGTTAGTGCCGCTGTGTGTGCGCGTGCGTGTGTTATGATATGTGTTTCTGTAGATAAACACAGCGTCGTGTCGGAGAGGTTTGTCATCTGTGTGTGTGTGTGTGTGTGTGTGTGTGTTCATCAGAACTGCTCACTTTACCATTGATAAAGTCCCGTTACTCTTATGTGAGTTGTGTATATTAATTAATATCCGTGTGTGTGTGTGTGTGTGTGTGTGTGTGTGTGTGATGTCGTGCTGCTCGTTGTTATGGCGCTGATCTGATCCTCCATGCCGTTCTGAGGAACTTCTGCCACTCATAACACTCAGTGCTCTGAACTGGATTTAACACACGGTTTTAATGTTACACAAGTGTGTGTGTGTGTGTGTGTGTGTGTGTCAGTGTGAGAGTAATCGGAGCCGGTTGTGTGTCAGTATGGATAGTGTAATATACGGTCCGGAAGATGATTCTAATATTTCTGAAAGTCTCTTCTGCTCTTCAAGGCTGTGTTTATTTGATCAAAAATACAGTAAAAACAGTGAAATATTCCTCCAGTGTAAATCATCTGTTCTCTATGTGAATATATAGTGACGTGTAATTTATTCCTGTGATCAAAGCTGAATTCATCATCATTACTCCAGTCTTCAGTGTCACATGATCCTTCAGATATCACTTAATATGAGGATTTGATGATCAACACACAGTTATGATTATTATCAGTAGAAAACAGTTTAGAGCTGCTTTAGATTTTCACTATGCACTTTATTTTTCGCAATTCTTTGATGAATTGAAAGTCATTTTAAATAGAAAAGCCTCAAACTGTTCTGTGGTCAGCACAGACGGCACTATTGAGCAGAACATGTGACCAGCGCTGTCTTATAAACACTGACTCAGGATCTGTGGACACTTGTGGAAGAGTTCAACATGATGATGAGATGATCAGCGTAACTCCACAACAACTACACAAACATCTCCGCTAACATTCAGAAGCTCTCCCTGAGTCTCTCCGGAAGGCGGAGCTAAAGCTGCTGTTACTCCTGATCCTGGATCAGTCAGATCCGCCTGTGCTGATAGTGCTGGAGTCTCTGAAAATCATGTGAAGACTCCGCCCTCTTCTGAACGGAGGCGGAGCTAAAGCTCATTAGCATTTAAATTAACACACACAAAAACAACGTGTTTTTGCTCACATCCAAAAGGGGGCAGATTTGATGAGCTGTAATGAAGGATCTGGGGGATTTAAGCTGAAGTTTCACCAGTTCTGGGACCAGAGATTTATATCACAGCTGGTGAAAAGGGGCATAATAATATAATATAATGATGTCACCTTTAAGTAAATCTTACTGACCCCATACGTTTAAACAGTAGTGAGAAAAGCTTTTAAAGCAGCTTCACTTGTGTGTGTGTGTGAGAGAGAGACTGAGGCCTGTAGTGGAGTGTGTGATGAATGGATCTTCTGTGTGTGTGTGAGAGTCTCTCCAGCTGAATGAATGAGTGCAGCTGCTGTCGGACGGACGGACGCCGTGTGTTTGGATGTTAATGGAGTGTGTGTGTGTGTGTGTGTGTGTTCACCTGGTGCTCTCCTCAACACTCATTACAGTTAATTCAGAAATAAGCGGTTCATCATCACGTCTCTCCAGACCCGGTTCTTCTGCGCAGCGTAAACACAGATATTGTGTGTCAATGTTCACTGTATGGACAATAAAGCAGGGTGTGATGTCATGAGTGATGATGTCATGTTCAGGTTTACACTCACACACTGTACAGAGTCGCGTGCTGCTGTCTGAACTCTATTTACATCAATGAATGAATTAGCCTGATCTTCACGTGATGATGTGTGTGTGTGTGCAGTGAGCATGTTCCTCAACACTTTGACCCCCAAGTTCTACGTGGCGTTGACGGGCACCTCATCCCTCATCTCAGGACTCATTCTGGTGAGTGACCTTTACTTGCAGAACATTTGATCATCTTGATTTCTGTTCAAACATATCTGGGACTGTCCCGCTCTTAATGCGAGTAGACGACGGTTTCATTTAGTAAGGACGTGTTTACCAGAGAAGGAAAGATGTTGTCATCTTGTGTAATTTTGAACTGCTGTATTAAATTGAACCAGTGCAGGATCCGCCAGTGTGGGTTAGTTGGTGAAGTTGGCATCAGTAATGCAGGAATGGTTTATGGTGTGATGGTGATGTTGTGTGTCTCAGATCTTCGAGTGGTGGTATTTCCGGAAGTACGGCACGTCATTCATCGAGCAGGTTTCGGTCTCTCACCTGCGTCCTCTGCTCGGGGGAGTCGACACCAGTTCTCCCAGCAACACCAGTGCCAGTAATGGAGACGCCGACTCCAGCCGGCAGAGCGTCTCAGGTCAGCTGTCGATCACTAACCAATCACTGTCAGTCTGAGTTTATGAGTCTGTTTAACAGTGTGTGTGTGTGTGTGTAGAGTGTAAGGTTTGGAGAAATCCACTCAATCTGTTCAGAGGAGCCGAATATAACCGGTGAGTGTCCATCAAAACAAGCTCGTCTACCTTCACCCGTCTGTGGAGCTGCTGACGTGAGTGTGTTTGCTGCAGGTACACGTGGGTAACGGGGCGAGAGCCGCTCACATACTACGACATGAATCTCTCAGCGCAGGATCATCAGACGTTCTTCACCTGTGATTCTGATCACCTGCGGCCTGCAGACGCCAGTAAGAGCACAGCATCACGGATTCAGCACAACATCTGGAAGACCTTTGCCTAAGTGTGTGTGTGTGTGTGTTGACAGTCATGCAGAAGGCCTGGAGAGAGAGGAATCCTCAGGCTCGGATCACGGCGGCTCATGAAGCTCTGGATCTGGAGGAGTGAGTGATGATCTACACACACACACTCATGAGTTAATCTGTAATTTCCTCTCTAGTTTGTGAAATATGCTGTAATATATTCCCAGCATGTTTAATCTGTGCTCCTCAGCAGACAAATCAATCACAAACCACAGCCAATCAGAAGAGTGTGTGGGCGGAGCCTCTCTGCAAGCGCACTGCACTCGCAACCAAACGGATAAATATATAATTCAGTTCATAAATATTATACCATTTTATACATAACATTATTAGTCACTAAAAAATTTCTTGCATTTGGTTTAAAAAAAAATTGGTTTGGGACTTGCTGAGTGTATGGACATGATTCGGACAGGTTAAATGGTGTGGACACTTGTGCTCCTCGTGGAAATGAATGAGAGACGAGTTTCCTCTTGTGGAAGCGTTTGGTACTGCAGCCATTTTTCAGAACAATTACACAATAAAAAGTCTGTAACTTTTTTAAAGTAAACTTTTCACTTCAGCAATAATTTGCCATGTGTCGTCTTTGAAAAGAGATCAAACTTCAGTCTGTCGCTCAAAACCTGAAGGAATGGGTTATAAATACAGCGTAAATATCATTTAGGACCATAAAATCAACTAAAAATACAAAATATTAAATGGAAAAACATTATCGAACAAAAATTTAGACCATTAATTTCATTGAAATAAAGAAATCGATCTGACACAGAGCAGCAGTGGGTTAAAGTACACACTGAGTGACTGAAACTATCTTTGTTGTAGAATACACTTGTTTGTTCACAGCTTGAGTTTACTGATCTGAGGTGAATTATTCATCATCGCTATAAAGTTCACTAGACGCTTTTAACCTTAAATAAAGCAGATCATCAGCTCCTGAAGTCTCACTAACCTCCATCAACGAAGCACAAATACAAACAAACAGAATCCCATCACGGATGAAGACTCGGATTAGCATAGGAAAGTTGACGTATATTGAGCATTTTGTCTGGTCAGGGTTGTTTTATGCGAACAGTCTCACTCTAAACTCTAGAATATCATCTGTTGTCCCTCATAAAGGAAGTCGATGTCTGTCACAGTGGCAGACAGAATGATTGACAGATGATGATGATGATTCTTGATCAACACACCCTGATCAGCTCTAAACTCTTGCGTCGTAATGGAGGGAGTGTGTGTGTGTGTGTGTGTGTGTTTGTGGCAGGTGTGCGACGGCGTATGTTCTCCTGGCGGAGGAGGAGGCCACGACCATCGTGGAGGCGGAGAAGCTCTTCAAGCAGGCGCTGAAGGTGGGAGAGATCTGTTACCGGCGCAGTCAGCAGCTCCAGCACCACGGGGCCCAGTACGAGGCCCAGCACAGTGAGTGACCCCTGACCCCACACACACACACCTGACCCACGCTCATTTCTTCAGCTGTCCATCTAAACCCGCTGATGATGTCACACCTTTAATGGCGAGATGTTTGATGGTCGTGTTAGACATGTGATGGTAAGAGTGTATTTCTCTTCTGGCTCTCCGTCTCCACACAGCTGTCGTCAGGTGATCCTCGGGTCTGATCTTCCTCTTCCTCAGGGCGTTCTTCATCTGCTTTGTCGGCCCCCAGCTGAGCGTCGGCCATGATGTTACTGACGTAAGGTTCAGATCACATGGCCCAAACACTGCGGTGGGCGCTGGGTCATGATGGCCGCAGTACTCCTGCCGTTGGGGTGTTTTTAAGGCACACGATCCCGCCAGGTGTTTCCCAGAATGCCCTGAAGGCAGCTTATGTGGAAGTGCTGGAAGGACCTGTAGTGACGGCTGTAGGTTTCCGACGCTTCACAGATATCGAGGAGGGGGGTTTGGTATACAGTGACCTTTGTGGAGGGAGGAAGGCTCTTATTATGAAAGACGCTGCACTGAAGTCTCCTAAAGGCAGCTGACGCCGGTTTAATTCGGCTCTGGGTCTCGTTTTCCATGCCGCTATCCTGTAGTATGTAGGTTGTGTAGTATTACAGAGGTTGCCATCTGATCTGAAGTCCACTGCTGTTTCCAGACTCGTTGTGGAGAAGCTTGGTGTCAGGAGGAAGATGATGAAGAGCACTGGTGCTAGGCTAGCACACACCTGCTAGCTGTCCCCTGTGTGTACTGGGCAGGGCTCAGGCGCTTGTCCGCTTTTGGTCAGCTGAGCATCATCCATCGTGTGGCCAGGCCTTTCAGACACGCCCCAGTCCCTTGACTCCACCCCTATGACCAAACGAAGAGAAACCTGCATGACGAGCTCACACACACACACACACACACACACACGGCTCGAGCGGGCTCAGTATGCGCTGCTGAAACTCTGTTGCTGCTTTTATGGCAGTCATGGATTTCTGCAACTCCTTTATATAAACAGTTTTACTCTATTTTAATTATATGTGTGTGTGTGTGTGTGTGTGTGTGTTTCATAGGAAGGGACACAAACGTGTTGGTCTACATCAAGAGAAGACTCGCCATGTGCTCCAGAAAGCTCGGCCGCACGCGAGAAGCCATCAAGATGATGCGAGACGTGAGTGACCTCTGACCCACACACACAAGATATGAACAATAATGGAATCAGTGTTCTTTATATAATCTATAGACCTTATTCAGAGCAGCGCCACGACAGGTATGAGAGTGCGGCTGTGAGGGATAGACTTACCGTGTTTCCAACGGCATCCGCTGTAAAAGCTGAATAAAGCGGATAGATTACTGACAATTTTCCACAGCTTACATTGGCGGGAGTTTTTTGTCAGCTGACATTTCTTGGAAAGATATTTTTCCCGTGTTTCATGAGCAGAACAATCCGAAAACACATTAAATAACAGTACAGCCCATTGAAGAGATGCAAGACTATCCCTCACAGCCTCGCTTTCATTCTCATTAAAAATCAAAGATGGCGCTGCCGTGAATAAGGCGGATATAGTTGTAGATATCGTGAACAGTCAGATTAATGATGGTCTGCTGTTTAATTGAAGATAACACACAACTGAGGTGCAGCCATGATGCAGTTAAACCTCACACACACACACACACACACGCTGTGCAGTGGTGGAGAAAGTGAGCTGTTGTTCGTGTGTGTGTTCCTGCAGTTGATGAAGGAGTTTCCTCTGCTCAGCATGTTCAATATCCACGAGAACCTGCTGGAGTCTCTTCTGGAGCTGCAGAACTACGCTGATGTTCAGGCCGTGCTCGCCAAATACGACGGTACGACCAACACACACACACCCCACTACAGACGTATTCGCATTTCTATTGTTGTCCATGTTCAAGGACTTTGTGTTGTTTCAATTTTAATGCACATTCTAAGTTTGACTCAAATAAAAGCATGATTTTCTGTTTTATGTGAACTATCGGTTAGAGTTGGGCTTTTCCAGGCGTGTGTTTGAGTCTCCTCTGGATGATGATGATGATGATGATGATTTACTTCTCAAACATCACATGATTGTTCTCTTCCACAGACATCAGTTTGCCAAAGTCTGCCACGATCTGCTACACCGCAGCGCTTCTGAAGGCCAGAGCCGTGTCCGATAAGTGAGTGTGTGTTCGCCTGCTCTGTTATTCATGACTGGCTTGATAACGGTCTAATTGCAGGATTAATGAATGCCACATAATATAAGGCTTTTATCAGGTGAATGCAGCAGAGTCACTGTAAGAGGAGTCACTGTAAGAGGAGTCACTGTAAGAGTCACTGTAAGAGGAGTCACTGTAAGAGGAGTCACTGTAAGAGGAGTCACTGTAAGAGGAGTCACTGTAAGAGTCACTGTAAGAGTCACTGTAAGAGGAGTCACTGTAAGAGGAGTCACTGTAAGAGGAGTCACTGTAAGAGTCACTGTAAGAGGAGTCACTGTAAGAGTCACTGTAAGAGGAGTCACTGTAAGAGTCACTGTAAGAGGAGTCACTGTAAGAGGAGTCACTGTAAGAGTCACTGTAAGAGGAGTCACTGTAAGAGGAGTCACTGTAAGAGTCACTGTAAGAGGAGTCACTGTAAGAGGAGTCACTGTAAGAGGAGTCACTGTAAGAGGAGTCACTGTAAGAGGAGTCACTGTAAGAGTCACTGTAAGAGGAGTCACTGTAAGAGGAGTCACTGTAAGAGTCACTGTAAGAGGAGTCACTGTAAGAGGAGTCACTGTAAGAGTCACTGTAAGAGTCACTGTAAGAGGAGTCACTGTAAGAGGAGTCACTGTAAGAGGAGTCACTGTAAGAGTCACTGTAAGAGGAGTCACTGTAAGAGGAGTCACTGTAAGAGGAGTCACTGTAAGAGGAGTCACTGTAAGAGGAGTCACTGTAAGAGGAGTCACTGTAAGAGGAGTCACTGTAAGAGTCACTGTAAGAGGAGTCACTGTAAGAGGAGTCACTGTAAGAGGAGTCACTGTAAGAGTCATTGTAAGAGGAGTCACTGTAAGAGTCACTGTAAGAGGAGTCACTGTAAGAGTCACTGTAAGAGGAGTCACTGTAAGAGTCACTGTAAGAGGAGTCACTGTAAGAGTCACTGTAAGAGGAGTCACTGTAAGAGGAGTCACTGTAAGAGGAGTCACTGTAAGAGGAGTCACTGTAAGAGGAGTCACTGTAAGAGGAGTCACTGTAAGAGGAGTCACTGTAAGAGTCACTGTAAGAGGAGTCACTGTAAGAGGAGTCACTGTAAGAGGAGTCACTGTAAGAGGAGTCACTGTAAGAGGAGTCACTGTAAGAGGAGTCACTGTAAGAGTCACTGTAAGAGGAGTCACTGTAAGAGTCACTGTAAGAGGAGTCACTGTAAGAGTCACTGTAAGAGGAGTCACTGTAAGAGTCACTGTAAGAGGAGTCACTGTAAGAGTCACTGTAAGAGGAGTCACTGTAAGAGGAGTCACTGTAAGAGGAGTCACTGTAAGAGGAGTCACTGTAAGAGGAGTCACTGTAAGAGGAGTCACTGTAAGAGGAGTCACTGTAAGAGGAGTCACTGTAAGAGTCACTGTAAGAGGAGTCACTGTAAGAGGAGTCACTGTAAGAGTCACTGTAAGAGGAGTCACTGTAAGAGTCACTGTAAGAGGAGTCACTGTAAGAGGAGTCACTGTATGAGGAGTCACTGTAAGAGGAGTCACTGTAAGAGGAGTCACTGTAAGAGGAGTCACTGTAAGAGGAGTCACTGTAAGAGGAGTCACTGTAAGAGGAGTCACTGTAAGAGTCACTGTAAGAGGAGTCACTGTAAGAGGAGTCACTGTAAGAGTCACTGTAAGAGGAGTCACTGTAAGAGGAGTCACTGTAAGAGGAGTCACTGTAAGAGGAGTCACTGTAAGAGGAGTCACTGTAAGAGTCACTGTAAGAGGAGTCACTGTAAGAGGAGTCACTGTAAGAGGAGTCACTGTAAGAGGAGTCACTGTAAGAGGAGTCACTGTAAGAGTCACTGTAAGAGGAGTCACTGTAAGAGTCACTGTAAGAGGAGTCACTGTAAGAGGAGTCACTGTAAGAGGAGTCACTGTAAGAGGAGTCACTGTAAGAGGAGTCACTGTAAGAGGAGTCACTGTAAGAGTCACTGTAAGAGGAGTCACTGTAAGAGGAGTCACTGTAAGAGGAGTCACTGTAAGAGGAGTCACTGTAAGAGGAGTCACTGTAAGAGGAGTCACTGTAAGAGGAGTCACTGTAAGAGGAGTCACTGTAAGAGGAGTCACTGTAAGAGGAGTCACTGTAAGAGGAGTCACTGTAAGAGGAGTCACTGTAAGAGTCACTGTAAGAGGAGTCACTGTAAGAGGAGTCACTGTAAGAGGAGTCACTGTAAGAGGAGTCACTGTAAGAGTCACTGTAAGAGGAGTCACTGTAAGAGGAGTCACTGTAAGAGGAGTCACTGTAAGAGGAGTCACTGTAAGAGTCACTGTAAGAGGAGTCACTGTAAGAGGAGTCACTGTAAGAGTCACTGTAAGAGTCACTGTAAGAGGAGTCACTGTAAGAGTCCAGTATAAAGCAGCATAACTGACTGGTTTCATAAAGGTAAAGTAACAGGAAGCGTATAAAGCCGTAACGTTCAGCTTACAAACGTTTAAAACGAGGTGGACAGAAGAACTGCTGTTTCTAACATAGTAATATACTCATTATAGACTGATATCAGGCTTAAAGATATCATATTAGTGGAGTCCAGAGCTTTACTCAGTGCAGAGATAAACAGGATCTGTTCAGTGTAAAGATCATCAATTATTAAACGAGTTCGTTTAATCCGGAGAGAACAGTGATGTCATCATCAGCTCAGTTCTCGTAACACAGCGTCAGTTCAGTCGGATCGATAATGGTGTTTAATAATGGTGGAGCATTAGTGGCAGGAACCCCATCTCCATCAGTGAACCCAGACTCCGCCTCCGCTCCTCTGGCCAATCAGCGAACAGCAATCCGAGCTGGTGTGTGTGTGCAGGTTCTCTCCAGAGGCGGCGTCACGGAGAGGTTTGAGCACTGCAGAAATGAATGCAGTGGAAGCCATACACAGAGCCGTGGAGTTCAACCCACACGTACCCAAAGTGAGTTACACAGCTGAGTGTGTGTGAGTGTGTGTGTGTGTGTGTGTGAGAGTGACCTGTGTTGACCCCATGTCTCCTCAGTACCTCTTAGAGATGAAGAGCCTGATCCTGCCGCCGGAGCACATCCTGAAGCGCGGAGACAGCGAGGCGATCGCGTACACCTTCTTCCACCTGCAGCACTGGAAGCGCGTCGAGGGGGCGCTCAACCTGCTGCACTGCACCTGGGAGGGAAGTGAGTGACACACACACACACACACAGAAGATGAGGTCTCATTCATAAAACCAAAAATGGCGTACGCCAAAAAATATTCAGATTTATAAATCCGTTGGTACGCCAGAACCTCTTTATAAACCCCAGTCGGCTGAAGATTGTGCGCACGTGCGTCTCCTCCCTTAAATAAACATATATGGAGATTACAACGCCTAGTTTAAATATGCATATCCTCATCTGCATATCATTTCCATATGATTATTCATCCACGTGATACTGTGTTAAGAAACAAGACGTTAGGAAAATATGAAATACAGACGTGCCGTGTCACAATAGATTATTATTATTCTTATAGTAGCCTATATCCTTACCTTGATTTTGAAATAAAATAGTGTAAAATACAGTGGAAATACAGACCGGAAGTCGAAAGACAACGAGCGCAGCGCTGAAGAGGGGCGGGGCTACATTAGGTCTATATTACTGAATGTACAAGTCGGCCATTTGCATATTCAGAGAACCGCGCATACTAAATGAGGCGAGGGTGTCGAGTTACATTCAAGATATCTAACGAAAAAACATTGAAATGTCATTTTGGTGATGAGAGCTGAATTTGGGGGATAAAGCGATCGATACAGGCGACTGTAAGTGCGGTTAGGACACACACCCCTCAGCGGCAGAGATGGAGTCAGTGGTGTGTGTGTGTGTGTGTGTGTGTGCTGCTGTTGATGGACTGATGCTTCAGCTTTCAGGATGATCCCGTATCCTCTGGAGAAAGGACACTTGTTTTACCCGTATCCGGTGTGCACCGAGACCGCCGACCGCGAGCTGCTGCCCAGTAAGAGCTTCTCCTGTGTGTGTGTGTGTGTGTGTGTGTGTGTGAACGCCCGCTCGCTCACGCTTCTGCCCTTACCCTCAAATCTGCTCTTCAGGTGTTGTGGTATTGATTTACTTTTGGACTGATCAATAAAACATGTCCATATTTAGTCATGCTGTGTCAGAGTTCATCTGATGATGCTCAATACTGGAATAATGACTTCAGACACTTCTTCACTTTCACTGTCCGCACAAATCACCAGAACACACACACACATTTACTAGTTTAAGTAGTTTAATATTATCATGTAAATCAACACACACTACATTATGAAAACTTGTAAAACTCTAGTTTCTCTCAAAGTTTCTACAGGAAGTTCATGTTTTTATTTATTCTGAAGTCTCATGTTTGGGTTTATTCCAGAAGCGTTCGCAGATCGAGTCGCACAGGAGGAACACACACACACACACACACACACAGTGTGAGCGAGCGCATCCGGTGTTCGTGGAGATTGGCCGCTGGTCGCTATAGTTACAGCTCAGGGTTCGTCAGGTGAGCATCGCCGTCGGGGAAAGACTCCTCTGATTTCTGTAATTATAGCGACGAGCGGCCCATCTCCACGAACACCTCGGAAGCGCTCGCTCGTGTGTGTGTGTGTGTGTGTTCCTCCTGTGCAGCTGAATCAGTGTGTGTGTGAGCGATGAACGCGTGTCAGTGTCGCGTAAGTCATGTGATTATTGACTGACGTTGCAGTAGTAGTTAACCCTGAACGTGTGTGTGTGTGTGTGTGTGTGTGTGTGTGTGTGTGTGTGTGTGTAAGCAGTGTTCCACGAGGTGTCGGTGTACCCTAAGAAAGAGCTGCCGTTCTTCATCCTGTTCACGGCGGGTCTCTGCTCGTTCACGGCGATGCTAGCGCTGCTCACGCACCAGTTCCCGGAGCTCATGGGAGTGTTCGCTAAAGCCGTGAGTATCGCACAAACACAACATTACCCAGCATCCTTCACTCGGGTTCATATCAGCCACAGATGAGTTTGGCTCATCTTCACTGCGGATCCAAAGTTAAAGTGCATTATAATATTTGCAGATTCGTGGCGTGTTTGTGACGTGTTTTAATGCGTTAGACTTTCTGAAGGGGTAACATAAATATTAGAATTTATAACAATTATTCTTGATTAATCATACAATGATCACATGACTGTGTTGATCATGTGACTGTTGGCTGTGCTGGAGATGAGTGTGACGGTTTGTCTCGTCTCTCCTCAGTTTCTGAGTACGCTGTTCGCGCCGCTGAACTTCATCATGGAGAAGGTGGAGAGTATTCTTCCCTCGAGTCTGTGGCACCAGCTCACACGGATCTGACACACACACACACACACGACTGAGGTGCCAATTCTTCAGAAGTGCCGACAGACAGGAAACAGGAGAGACTCGGACATCATCAGGAGAAAGGAACTCATTCCCTCTTAATCTCATGTAAAACTTTCTGTCTCAAACTTTTAAAGGCCATCCGTATAATATAAAGAAAAAATAAACCGATTTCTGTACCGCTGCAAACACACGTCCTCTTCATTGTCCTCTTCTCCTCGCTGCCACTTCCTGTTCTCAGGTTTGTCTGAATATTGATGGAAATAACTCCCACAATGCAGTGCTGATGTGAAAACATGGCGTTTTTGTTTAGTATTCAGGAGCGTGACACTCGTGTAGAGGTGTGTGTTTCACCAGTTCATGATGTTATGCTGTTCTCGGACGCGTGATGTTGATCACCTGACCACGGGAACAGACGTTAAACACTTCCTCTTTATAAAGAGACGCCTTCCAGTAAAACACTCACACTTCCTGTGATCTCTAACATCGGTTTAACTTTCTGAATATCTGGATCAAACTGTGGAGTGTGTGTTCACGTCTGGCGTTCGAGAGCGAGTGTGTGTGTGTGTCTGGAGTATCGCTGATGCACATAACAACTCCATCCAGGTTAGAAGACCACATTTACAGAATGAATCCCTCGACGAGCCTCAGCTGTGATTGGATAACTGGAGTAACCAGCGGACCAATGGCGTCGCAGCGTCTCTAATGCTGGTTTAGTGTGTGATATTTTAGGCCAGTTTCCCTGGAAGTGAAGATACAGCTCCTCCACAATCACACCTGAGGATGAGGATGATGAAGATGAGCACACCATTCATTCTGAGGCAAAATTCTTCGTATTGGTCAATCGATGACGGCTCAAGAACATGCGAACACAAACTCAGCTTGAGATTTACCTGTAATTTCTGTTCTGTGGCAGAGACGAGCTCTCGTGTAGAGCTGAGGTGAGAATGAGTGTGTGTGTGTGTGTGTGTGTGTGATGAACAGGTGCTGGAAAGCGAATCCTCGTGAAGGACCGATTCGGGTTCAGTGATTCAGCAGTTCCAGCTGATCGGGGGTTTCAGGGGGTCCATTTTCATCCATCTCGTCCTCAAAACAGCGACGGGACCCCGGCCGACTGGGACACGCTTTGATAGAAACTCGAGCAGCACAAATTTGTTTAATTAGTTTTTGTTTAACATTCAAAGTGTTCTACAAGGGGCCTCGTTTATATCAACTCATCTTCCAGGTGTGTGTAGGGGACAGAGCCGAGGTGTGCACGCGCCTCGCTTCCAGAAGTCAAAGTTATACTCTGATGCATAAATCATCTTGAAATTGAGCTGATTGGCTTCCGATCTCCGGATCTTTTACGCCATCCGCACTCTTCCACCGCTTTCATATGAACGTTGGCGTGGATTTTAGCGTACACACACTATAAGATCAACGCTTTATAAACGAGGCCCGTGGTCTTCTTGATATTATTAACTCCTCATCTCTAGATCTCGTCCTGAAAAACTGCGGCGGTGATTAAACATCAGGAAATCAGAACTTGATCCTTGTGAACTGGCAAACCCAGACGCATCTCACACACACACCACCTTACTCTAAACTTATGAGTCATAATTCAGCAGTTATTGTGTCTTGTGCAAGTAAACATCTGTTATGTGAAAAGTTGGTTCATAAATTAAAAAAAAAATATTTTATTGCAATTATTCCCGTTTTACAGATTCTGTGCGGCGTCTATAACGTGTGTTCGGTCTGAGTATCTCGGGTTTAGAGACGTGCTTGATCGAGCTGCTCCGGTCTGAGTAATGATGATGATGATCTGCAAGCAAACGGTGTCGGCCGGATCCGGCGTTCCCCACGGGCGACACTGTTACACCGTGATCAGAAACTACTCAACGCTCTTTAGGACTGAAGAGTTCTTAATTGCCTTATATATTTATATAAAGTTTTAATTTTATTAATTTAGGAATGGTGTTTTTGTCAAACAGCGACCCCTAGAGTAACTGTGGAGTACTTGTTTTTAACGTTACTGTCGTAAATACCACTCACGGAGAGCGTGGCGTGTTACATAGTATACAATAGCACATTGTGTTTAATTTGTGGTTTAATGAGATCTAATATGTTGTTAGTGGTGGGAATTTTCACGTGATTAAATGCATATCCCCATGAAGTATAATGGTCCAGAGGAAGAACTTTTGCCATGTGTGTCACAGGTTCTTCTAATCCCTACTAATAGTTTATTTTCCTCATCAACACCGATTGTGTGTTAGAGGCTGTATTTCAAGCAGGGACGTGTTTTTTTGTGCATTGGGTTTTGTGTTTTCACCGTAATGACGCGGCGGCGGCTCGACGCACCGAAGTTGCAAGTGAGATTTTTCCGCTCACAGGCACCAGGGGGTCGAGACGCCCAATATTCAACCCGAAAGAAGTCATATAACCATTTCAATAACTCTGAAACTGTTAAATAAGGCTAAAATAACTGCATAGAGTCCCTTTAAAAAACAGCTTTACAGTAAAACCTACGGAGCCCCTAAAGGGACCTGGTGGTTGGAAAAAAATTTAGGATGGGAGAATTTATTATTATTTTTTTTTTTCAAAACTTTTGAGTTCGCATGCAAAACCTGTTGGCAGCTCGGACAGACCCTTCCTGTTTAATGTCCCGCTGGCAGTGTTTCAGAGCTCCGTGCGTTAATGGAGCGTTTATAGTGTTTGAACTTGGACTCAAATATAAAGAAATGCGGTCAGTGCTTAACTCAAGCAGTTCAGTGAAGTTGGCAATATATTCACACAAACGACACCCATTTACAATCACAGTAACCTAGACAACGAGCTACAACCCAATTCTCCCCAAAACGAGCTTTATAATATAATAAATTTGTCTTTAACCGGCCGATTGAGAGACAAGTCCGAATAAGGGACCGTCTGCAAAGTGCAAATCCCAAATCCCTTCAGCACATTTTACATTATTTAACATATGCAATAGCTTCACTCACTGTGATGCACTGTAGGCTACTGTGACCAAATTCAGTTCCAATAACTTTACCCTTTTTTAGAAAAAAATATTCAGTAACTTCACACTGTTATACAGTGTAATGCCATCAAATTCAGTAAGAAAATATATTGCAAAAGCTGGTTGTTACTATTATGTTAGCTGCGTACAGTACCAATATAATTTGTGTAAAGAATAGGCCTACTTGTTATTTTATGTGCAATTACTTCCCAAACTTCCAAAGTGTTGTACAACCCAGATTAGAGCAGTGATGTGTGAACTAAATTTCAAATTTTTTATATTTTTGACCATGAGTTGATGCTGTAGTCGTTTTTTGAGTAATATTGCACTTTGCACATGGTGCCTTCGGACTTGTTTCTCAGCCGCCTGCTCATAGAGATCCATTTAGCCTATATTATTCATATTATTAAGCTTGTTTTGTGGAGAATTGGGTTGTAGCTCGTTGTCTAGATTACTGTGATTTTATCGTTTGTGTTTTAACAACATTTAGCTGAAGAATATTGATCCGGGATTTGAGTCCAAGTTCAAACACTATGAAACGCTCCATTAAAGGGATAACTTCGTTCACTTTGAAATGAATTTTTGATATGTTTTATCTTACCTCAAGGGCATCCAAGATGTAGGTGTCTTTGTTTCCACAGCATTTTCAATTTTGACATTTTTTTGTCAAACCGTTGTTGTCTGTCAGTCATATAAAGCAGTTTTAGGGGTCCACCTCAAAGAGCAGCACAGAGAAGTCCAAATTAAACATGATTAATGACTCGTAAATGTAAGTACACACTGATGGCCTAAGACACGAAACGCGCGGTTTGTGTGAGAAAACGAAAAGTATTTTTATACTATTTACCTCTTGTTAACAGCCGTCGAACTGATCTGAATCAGATACCGAACTGAACCGTCTCCAGAAGTTACGCCGGAAGTGATCTCTCGCGCGTCTTCGTCACGCATTGTTTACACGGAGATTTCGGAAGTTTCACCTTTCACTAAACATTTTAAATTTTAGATATCAAAATCGTCTTCCATTGCGATTTCCCGTATATCTAAAATGTTTAGTAAAAGTTAGTGAGGCTTCTGGAAAGGGTTAGTTTACACACAGTTACTCTTCAGCAACGCAAAAAAAAATTACTAGTGAGTAGAAGTTGTATCTTAGTGTCCATTTACGTCAAAACTAGGACGTTGCAACTTTCGCACAGATGGTGGCATGGTGCAAACGCATTTATCTATTATATTGCATCCATTATAATTTGACACACCTAGACAGATTGTGATTGGTCAGTGTCAGCCTTCTGGAGTTAATAATGCTAAACTCTTGGTTTCCTACATTGCTGTTCAAGTTTCATGCGTCTCGTATCACCCACGCTCTCTGAGCAGATCATAATAACATCATGCACACTCAAATCAATATTTCATGTCCATTTATTTATGTATGAAGTGGGCATGTAATCTGGTTAATGTACAGTCCGGCCGAGTCTGGGTTTTCTGCACAATACAACATATTACATCATTCAGCAGATAGAGACCATATAATATTATGACTGAACTCTTTTTTTTTTTTGCAATGTGCTTTTATTAAAAGCCCCCCCACACACACACTTCATAAACCCAACAGGCCCAAAGTACTAAAGGAAACTTTATTAAAATAAATGAACGAATAGAGAAACATCACAATGGCAAACACTAAACTAAAGCCGATCAGTATCGGACAGCGAGGGTTCCCGATGCTCACAGGACGAACGCTGCGAGAACATGAGGCTGTGAGGGACTCAATTCATTCTACATAAATGAAGCACACACATACACACACACACACTCTCTGATTTATGTATAGCTATGTACAGGTCTGAGACGCTGTGATTGGCTAGTGGATCCGCGTCAGCTCCTCCACGATCTTGATGACCTCGTCCACCGTGGCTTCACGCTTCATTCCACTGCCGTCGTCGATCTGCCACACACACACACACACACACACACACACACACACAATCACTCGTCACATGTGCGTCTCAGGTGTGTGTTATTCTGGGTCTTTTGTTTGTCGCTACATTAAACCCAAACTGACAGCTAATGAACATCTTTCTTCACGGCGAATGACGAGCCCATGACGAGCTCACACACTCAACAGAAGGGGGGCGATGATGATGTCATCAGTGCGTGCGGATCGAGCACCGAACAGCTCGTGATGCTCACCTGAAGAGTGCTGACCACCTCCTGCATCTTAGCCCGGCCCAGATCCAGGAAGCTCTCGATCAGATCCCCGTCGATGAAGCCTGTGGCCTGCTCCGTCTTGCGCTCGGTGTGGAACGACCTCCAGGTGGCGCTAGTCAAGGACTCAACACAGTTCAAGCCAAAGAGTCAATTCAGCAAACACACACACACACGTGATAACGCAGCTCAGAGATTGTGTTAAAGGATATAAGCTGTGCTCGATCTTGCCGACACTCTTGATGACCTTGTTGAGTCGGTTCTGCAGATCCAGCAGTAAACT